CTAATGCTGGAAAAGAAGCAACACGCTTCGCTTTCACTGAAAGCATTCTTTCAAGTGCGTCGTTGGCATAAAACTTAGCCTTTTCCTTTACTTTATCATGAGGTAGATATAAGAGCCGCCCTGTGATTCGTCAACTATCTTGTCCTCTTGCACAATGCCTCCTAGGAGAGCAATATTCCTCCTACCTTTCTCTTAGACTCAAGTCCTGACTCTTCCTTTTCCAGTGCAACCAGCAACCTGCAGAAGGGCGGATAGGGATGGAAGACAAGAATGACAACATCGGCACCCACACCGCATTCTTTTTTTGTTAACTCTCCTCCAGAAGACACTGTGACATGTGACATTTAAATGTTCTGTGGAAGGTGCCTCATCTTCTAAAAAGGGGACTGATCCTTGAGAAAGAAAAAAAGTTCAAGCTTGGATGTAAGCAGTGATTCACAGAAGGAGCATTGGACTAGTTTGTGCTCTTTCCAAAGACAGTCCAAATTGCTGCTCTTTCCTTCCATCAAAGCCATATTGACACACCAAGTTCAAGAGTCAATTTCTGCTCCTCCTGCTCCTTCATAATGAGCTGTGATAGCTTGTCTACGTGGAACGTACTTGCACCTGTAATAGTCTCTCTACTTTTTACTTTTGTGTTTATTTTCACCAAACTATCACTCTATTCTTTATCTCTTCGGTATCACTTCTTCAAATCCATCCATTCATCCATTCATTCAATGGCCACGGAAGCGAGTTTCCAGTTGGCATCCATTCTATTCTTTCCATTCTTTTTCTCGTCATCCATCCAAGTTGTCAAGACATCCTCCCCGGCTTCTAAAACATCCCCCCAGTTTACTTCCATATTGCTTGTATCGTCATTCGCTTTACGAGCTTTGCGCGACCTTTTACGTCTTCTCGGCCTCCCCTCCTCCACAGAGCATTCGGCCCACGGCAAGAGAGGGCATGGAGACCAATGATTCCATGCGAGCGATAGCGCGCAATCCTGCATCGATGAGTCTCTCGAAAGCCAAAAGCATCTACGAAAACCCAAAAGTTCGTTGCGTCTTGGCCATCGATGGGACTTTCTATGGCTACCGTGACGACCTCGCGGCGAACTTGGATAAATCCATCGATTTTGCAACGACCTTCACCTACATCTACGGACCTTCCATCTCCCCCGAGATCCGCATCGACCTCGAGGGTACCGAAAAGCGAGGCACCCGCATCATGACATACACCATCGCTCGGCTTACCATCCCAATCAATGCGCTACGAGGAGACATCAGCATTGCTGAGGGAGTCAAGATACGACTTACAGACAAGGAACTCTGCTACCCTGTGCTCCTCTTATCGGTTTCGCTCAAGCGCGGTTTTGTTTCCAAATACAAGAGACCCATTACTCCAACGCTGATCAAACGCTCGAGCGCGTGGATAAAGTGCCTTGTTGGAACAGGCGAAGCTGATCTCTCCGTCATCCTTGAAACTCGCGGCGTCGGCGACAGCTTCGTAAACTTGATGACCTGGAATTATCCGACCGAAGACATCAGAGTTGTGGATGCTGGCCTCGACTGCGTCTTCAAAAACCAACCTATGGGATACAAGCAGTTGGATTGGTTCATCATCAATCCCAGCCTCATGTGCCCGCCCGACGATCCCATCCCCGAGACTATGGTCTTCCACGATGAGAGGACTCGCATGATCCGGCTCCAGGCGTCATCACGCGAGGAATATGATCTCGAAGCCACCAAGGCGACGCTCCTTGCAGAGTCCACACACCCGTGCATTCTCCTTCCTGACCTATCATCTGTTTGGGAAGCAGGTGGCGACACACAGAACGGAATCGAGCCCGACGGCTCATACGAAAGGTACCTGGTGGTAGCCTCAATGGCAAGAAACCAGAAGAATCTTCTTCCCGATATTGGATCATCATGTGCTCTCACCTTCGACGACACCATAAAGATGGTTCACCGCCTGCCTACGTCGCTCCACCCGACAGGCGACCGATCTTGTCTCCAAATAGCCGTTGAGTACCTCGCGAACAAATGGCTTGAGGCAGAGGCTGAGATTGAGACCGCCGTGGAGAACGGAGGACTCGACCCCGAACTTGAAAAGGCTCGGGTGATGCAGATCAAGTATACCATGATAACTCAAGCACTGGACTTGATCGAGCTGAAAAGCCCCCAAGGGCATTCTTCTCATGACGTCGCGCTCATCATCCAACAAGCCTGCCAGTCGCGGAAAGGTCAGGCCATGGTGTACGAGCTGACGCGTAGGCTGGAGCACTTCGACCCGGAATTGCGAGTCGATTTACTGGTCGAAGAAGCTAACGCAATGAAGTGGAAAGCAGTTCGCGCGACTCCACCCATCGACGCGTCCTCCGATTACATCTACTTCATCGCCTGGGTGCCTCGGGAGAAAGACTGGCCATCAGATGACGAAGGTCCTCCAATCAAGGTTGACATTCCCGTCCCTCACGGTTTCGAACAAATGAAGAATATAGGGTCTTTGATCAACACGGCGAAGAAGAAGTTTACAGTCCGAGTCCATTACAAGCCACACCCGGCGACCACTCAGATGGAAATGGGCTCTGTCTGCCTCGCAGCATCCGCGGAGCCAGGAACCGACTTGGCCACCCGCTGGGCGTACGCCCAGAAATTCGACCCGGCCTCCATCCCCAAAGACTCCGCCGTGCGCGCCGTCAACTTTCACGAGCGCTTTCCCGCCGTTGGCCGACTCGCCTTCCGCGAGGACGAAAAACCCCAGCAAAGCCTATTCCAGAAGCTCCGTGCTGTCCCTGCAGGCATCGCGATGTACACTGGGGGTCCTGGGTCTGGCAAGACGACGTTCGCCGCTCGCATTGTTGCTGCTGTCGCTGAGGGAGGGGACAAGGCGATGTGGACCATCCACAGCAACGAACTTTGCGACGACGCTGTTAGGTCCCTGAAGGAACAGAATGTCAAAAAGCCGGACGGTAAGAGCATACGTATCGGTCGTCTTCCCACATGGATGACTATGAAGAAGGCTCTCTGTCAAGTCGCTCACACCGCCGCAAAGCACCGTCAAGCTTCCACACGTAAACGAACTGGCCCCTCGGCTGGCCGCACCGTCGCCTCCCACATCGGCATTTTCCTATCGCGTCTGAACCAGGGTCTTCTTGACCACACCATCAAAATTCTGCCAGACTCCGTCACGGAAAGGGCCATCGCCATTGCACGCGCCAATGAGCCGCATTTTGCGAAGTTCTGGATGTCTGAGCCTGGAACTCCAGAGTGGGAGGCTGGCTGTGCGCATATCATCAGTTTGGCCGTGGACGATTTCGACATCCTCGTCGGGACGCCTTTTGCCGCCGGACAACTTGGCCGCAGGGCCGCCACCGCGCTCGCCAGGTCAACACCATCCTGGAAGCCATGGGAGCCTGCTCTTCTTGTTATTGACGAAGCCGGTCGCATCCCCGAAGCCCAATGGTGGATTCCCCTTTCTGTTTTCCCTGACGCCTGCGTCCTTACCATGGGAGACACCCGCCAGTTCAAACCCTTAGCCATGAGCGTCAACGAGGACAGACACCGCGAGAATTTCAAGACCAGTCGTCACCTAACCGATGTTCTCAACTGGCGCTGTGTGTTTGGAGTCCAGCGGACTGTGTCGCTCCTGCACCGCGCTGAGAGCAACAGCCAGATCCTCGGCAACCTCTCCAGCAACCGCCGCAACCGCGGAGACATTGCTAATTGGGCCAAGAAGCATATATACCCTGGCGAAATGCGCATAATCTACCCACTGGTGGAAAATCGCTCGGCTCAGATATACCTCCATTTCATGAAATGGATCTTTCCCAAGGACGCCATCGATTCCAATTCAGTGGCCGTCGACGTGCGTTACACGGAGTCGTGCAAGCACAACCTGAGCTCTGTCAACCCGGGCAACCGCAACTTTGCATGGTGGATCGTCTATATGGCGTTCCAGTACAAGCTCCCGAACCTCCGAACCAAGGGCCAGCTTGCCGACATCATGATTGTGACGCCGTACAGCGCCCAGCACGGCGGTTACAAGGATGAGGTCATTGAGATGGGAGAGTCCGGTATCATCAAGAGCAAGATCATTATCCGGACCATCGACAACGCCATGAGTGCCGAAGCGGACCTTGTGATATTCGATTCTGTCCGCACGTCGGGCGGTATCGGCTTCTTGGAAGACCAAGAGCGTATGGCCGTTGCCGCGACCCGAGCCCGCGGCGGCGCCATCACGTTCTTCAATAGTGACAACATCAAGACGAAGCAAACGCGCGGCGACTCGCTAGACAATTCGTTCGCTTCCTACGTCCTCTCCCACAAGACACTTCTCAGGTCGACGCAAGCGTGGTACTCGGACGTGTGCGTGTCCTGCAACCTCCCGGGCATTCATGGGAGTCCCTGCTCGAGGGCTCGCCGTTGTGCGAGATGTCACGGGCCACATCACGAGCGGTTCTGTATCACAGGTAGACCAGCCGTAGACAGGTACGAAAAACAGGGAGATGAGGAGATGAAGGCTGCGGCTGGTGCTTCTTCGCCTCTGGTGGATTAGAGAGGGTTTGTGATTGGGGGTTCAGTTGGATGATGCATTTGGGGGATGTTGGGATATCTGGCATCATTGCAGGGTTTGTCCACAGTAATGGGTCTACTGAACCAGCGAGCAGTCATGAAGAGCCAGTATTAATGAAAAGCGAGAGTGCTGTCGCCACTTGAGATGCCCTGCTGCCGGCTAAGCATGCAATACATGTTGTTACCGAGCCCTTTCCAGGCGCTGCCTCCTCGATTGTAAGATGATGGCTCTCGATAACTCGCTACCTATTGCCGCAGGAACAACCGAGCGAAGCATTTGATAGCAACAGGGACTTAATATTAAGCAAGACTGCTTCATCATTTTTTCCCTTTTTTTTTTTTTTTTCCAAATCTCCAGCAGGACTTTCGTCAAGCGGGGGAGAATCGGATGGTCACCATAACACTGGTGCGGAGTCCATTCGATGAGGACAATGCATTTGAGCAGGAGGAGTCCTGGGGCGGAGACTATGGTGGTCACGAATCTTGCGGTGGGCCAGATTTCAAGTCTGTTGGTTACGATACGCATTATGAATTGTCATTATATTCCCACATTCCTTACGTCCCAGCAACAAGGGTGGCTGGCCCATCAAAGTCGCCAAGGGCCGAGGCGGGTTCGGGCCACTATCAGACAAAGGGCCGGGGCGAACGGGATGAGCGAGTGACGACCGGGGGATTGTTTGCCGGCGGCTTTGCGAGAGACCCGCGCTTGAAATTTGGCGGGTATTTCGATTGTTTGCGCCTCTTGGCGGTTGGTGACGAGGAGTGATGTGCACGCATCTGCATCTGGTGCCATCTTCCATGGTGGGAAGCAGAAGCGAACATGGACCGTACGATCGCAGGCATTGATCCCAAGAGATGTCGTTTGCTAGCCGGTGGAGAGGTGGGGTATGTATGAAGTCCCCTGGCCGAGCGGCGAACGTGAAGTCTCTTTCAGGTGAATGGACGAGGGTGGTCCAGGGTCCAGGGGATTTCTCATCACATCTCGACCAAGGGTGCCATTGGCGGCTGGCGGTTCTAGGCGGCGGGCTCGGGTTGGGTCTGTTCCCGCCCGTTTGGGATGCATGGCAAGCCTGGTCTTCCGGATCCGGACGGGGAGCGAGCCATGCCAACGACTGACTGGACGTGCTCGACTCGACGGAGGGACCCAGCATCCAACGATGATCCCATGTAGTATCGATAGCGTGTGGTGATCGACAGGGAGTGGACAAGAAACTGGCGAACGAAGGCGAGCTTTCGCGGCTAGATTAGAGGGCCGAGAGAGCCTGGCCGTGGGCGGCGGCGGTGGCCTTGGCCTTGGCCTTGGCCAGGTCGCAAGTGTGGCCGAGCGACTCGGAATTCTTTCAGGCTACACGAATGTGCGTTGCAGAATCCAGGAACCGGAGTGCCTACCTAGGTAGATGTGCAGTATCATGTCTTAAGCGGACGGAGGGAAACCAGTAAAGTTCGGTCTGCCTGCCGATCCAAGATTGTTGGCGTTGGATGACGGGCCGCATGAAAAGCTTCAGAGAAAAACATGCTCAATACCACCTCATGCACACTACCTCCTGCGGTAAGTACCCAAGGCACCAAGATGCATAAGACGCAGCAAACGTGTCTGGAGACAGAGGAAATAGCGAGCGACAGAAAACTTCAGGAGGTAAGAGCTCCTCCTGCCTGGACTTTCCTCTATCAGTCGCAGTGCCTGGAATAGAGGAAGCAACGGGTGGCGGGTGGCTGGTCCTGGCGTCGTCGGTACGTATCGTCAAGGATGCTAGCGCGGGTGGCCCTCGAGGAGGCACAGACGCGCATAGTGGGGGGGCTATTTGATGCTTACAGCCAATGAAAAAGACCAAATTACCGCCCGTCATGACCAGGGACCAACGGGGAAGCAACCTCACTGGCACTTTCCCTCACTGAAGACTGCGAATCACACTTCCCCGCCCGGGGTCCCTCCTCTCCCACCCCTTCCGTCTTCGTCGACTGCCTAAGCCCACCCAGCTTTACCCTAGGTAAGTAGGGGTATATTCCCTCTTCACCAGTTAGGTACACTACAGTCTACAATCCGTCAACCATATCTCCTGCCTGTCACATCGACATCGCCCGCTGTCATTCGACCGCCACCGCCCAAACCAAGGAAATCACTCGGCCCCCAATATGCACCTATCCTGCCATGTGTGTCGGCTCACGCAGCTTCTGCAGGACCTCGCCTGACAGTTGTTGGTCAATTCCATAATGATGGTTCCAGCAGCAGCGGTCAAGTCCATGGAATGGTCGGGGGTCCCATCTCCCACGCTTCTCCAATGACAGTTGGCACAACAGGCACTGGAAACCACCCTGGCCTTTCTTGTTATTTGCTTGCACGATCCGAGTAGCAAACCAGCTTGCAGAGGACGCCTAAGCATGGGCAACATCATGAGCAACGTCAACGTTCGGGCTCTGTGATGCCACACCCGCAATCCCACTTGTTCGACCGACTTCTCCGGCTACACAGGCTTCGTCGGATGACGTTATCTTGTGCCGTTTTTGCCGTCACCCGCCAGCTTGAAGCACACCACGACTGAAGCTTGACTGCGTCTCCTTGAACAAAACAGCATCGACATTGACAACCGCATTGCGCGACTCCGCCCAGCTTATCTCCCGCTGATCACATCGCATCTATGATTCCGGGACCAACGCATCCATCCCGCCTCTGATCCCTGGTCGCCATCTTCGCCGGCGGTTGGTCTGCCGAGCACACACGGCGGTACCTTTGCCCAAAAGCCTGCAGCGTGCAGCGTTGTCCTGCATGGCACCCACACTTCTAGCGCCTGCGCATCAGCCTGCGGTTGTGTGACATCCCCCAGCGGGGAACGACCAAAATCGTGGCCAGCCAATATTAAAGTACGGTCAGCCGCTGGGCCTGTTGCCCTTCACGTTCTACCATCCGAGCCAAAGAAGTCCCTCGTCCCTCTTCCCGTCTTTGGTTGCTCAACCCCATAGCGGCCGCAGCCAGTTGACCCCTCCACATGGCATATTCGCCGCATTATTACCCGTTCTATACACCCTCAAGTGCCACCACACTCCTGGTTGAACGCCCGTCTCGACCGAGCCAGTCAGCAGCAGTGTGACGGAACTATCGACACCTATGCTGATCACGCAGACTACACACCCCTAAGGATCGAGCCACTAGGACCTCCCCACTTCGGAGCGTCTCCGATCTTACATCCATATATCCCTTCGGACCACCTCAAGCCCGCGGATTGGCACGCGCCTCTCCATCTTGTTGCCCCGTCTCTCGTTACGCTGCCTTAGCATCGCCTGCCTGTCCTGCTCGTGGCCTCGCCTCGGAGAGACCTCGCATTCCTTCAAACTTATTTATCCCGTTGCTGTCGAGGGCTTCTCCACACGGCGAACCGACTCGACCGTGGACGATCTCCCGTACTAGGACCAAGCGGCCGAACGAAGTGCTACGACTGCATGACATTGACCGCCCCTCTCAATCGACATATCGCAACCCATTCCGCATGTCGACATAATCCGTGGCTCTCTGCGCGCAGTCGCTTCTTCATCGCGCAGCTTGACTCTATCTTCAATTCTTCGTAACCATGGCCACTCGCATCCGCGACATGGCAGACACTGCCAGCAGGACGACAGCACAGCTGGCCAAGCGCATCGCCATCACTCCCAAGCCCGATAGCCCGCCGGGCTTGATAGAGGCCCTGACCTTGGATCCGTGGGCTAAGTCTGGCAAGTATGGATTGGGATGGACCTATTTCGCTCTGGCTCTCATGGGAACAGTCCTTCTCGTGCGAATGTGGCATTTCTGGCAGGACAAGATCCGGCAAGCCATCTACAAGCAAGAAGTGGAGGATTACTATGCCAATTTGTACAACACCGACCCCGATTACGTCCACGCGGTACACACTGGACAGGCACAACATTTCTTCCCCGACTCCGAGGGGCTCGGAGAAAAGCAGTTCAAGCCCAGAGCTCACTTCTCTTCTGTTGGTTTCGTCAACGACACACTGGCCCTCTTCCGATGGATGTTTTACCGACCCATCCCTGATTTGGCTTGGGGCAGCCACCGATTCACCTTCTCATCGCTGGCTGTCATAACTTGCGGCCTTGTCGCCCTGGCGTTTGTGACACTCTATTGCTTCCTCCAGCAACCACTTTACTGGCAGAGCATTCAGTTCGGTTCCCCGCCCGTTGCTATCCGAGCTGGCATGATCGCCGTCGCCCTTACCCCCTGGGTCATCGTGACGAGCATGAAGGCGAACGTCTTGTCCATGCTTATCGGTATCGGGCCTGAGCGTCTCAATGTTTTTCATCGATGGGCTGGCTACCTTTGCCTTTTCCTGTCCCTGGTCCATATGATCCCTTTCTACATTCAGCCAGTCTGGGACGATGGTGGCATGGACGTCTTCTCGCGCCTTTTCCCCGGCGGAAGTGGCGTCATCTACGGCACTGGCATTGCATGTCTTGTCCCTCTTGTGTGGCTTTGCGTCGCATCTCTGCCGTTCATCCGCCGCATCGCTTACGAGCTCTTTGTCATGCTCCACGTGCCTGTCGGCATGGCCTACGTCGGGCTCTTGTTCTGGCACACCAAGAACTACCTGGCGTCTTGGAACTATCTCTGGGCAACAGTCGGCATCTGGGTGTTATGCTATTTTATCCGTCTGTTCAACCTCAACTGGACGAGGCCGTGGCGGTTGAGCTTCATGGTTGGTGATGAAGCCGCCATCAGTCTCCTTGCCGAAAACGCCATAAAAATCACCATCCCGACTCAGATGCGGTGGCGGCCTGGCCAATATGTCTACCTGCGCATGCCAGGCGTGTCATTCTTCGACAACCACCCTTTCACCATCTCATCGCTCTGCAGCGAGGATTTTCCTTCGGAGTACGGCGAGCAATACCGAGACTGCATTTTGGTCTTCAAGCCTTACGGCGGCTTCACCCGTAAGGTCCTCGACATGGCCATCGAGAAGGGGCCATTCCACACCTACCGTGCCTTCTTGGATGGACCCTACGGGGGTATGCGCAGAGACCTTGCCGCTTTTGACACTTGCATTTTGATCGCAGGCGGGAGCGGCATCACGGCCTTGATGTCGCAATTACTTAATCTAATCAAGCGTATGCGTGATGGGAAGGCCATCACACGGAAGGTGGTCGTGGTCTGGGCTCTCAAGAGACTTGAGGCTATGGACTGGTTCCGCGAAGAGCTTCGGATTTGCCGTGAATCTGCGCCTCCGGAGAGTGTCACTTGCAAGTTCTTCGTCACTTCAGCTGTCCGGAACCGGGGCATGGCTATCGAAGGTACAGATCGCGGTGCCCCTCGAGCCTTGAGTCATCTTTTTCATGACAAGCTGGATGGTTTTGTTGCAGGCATCGCGTCGAAGCGCAACTCCGCGCTGATTCAGTCTGTGGCACAAGGCGACCCAGACCGCGAACAAGAGTTGCGCGCCGAGCAAGAGGACAGGATCACGGCGCTACCACAACAAAAGTATCTGCAGCCTCACCAATACCCTCCCCCTCCCCGGGGCCGCCACCCTCGAACCGGTACTCGGCCCATGAGCAGTCATTGCGGAATCTTGAGGGCCGCGAGTATGACGATGAGGATAGAGACGCGAAAAAGCGCGAGTTCCACTTTCCTCCGATCAACACCAAAGGCGAGGTGCCACATTTCAACTACGCCCCGGCATCGCCTCGGAAGGGACCGGAAACCAGTCCGCGGAACTCGGATGTCCCTGTGCGGCCACCTGAATTGGCACATTTGAGGACTACCAACCTCCCTGGAGCCGGTCAACCTCGTCCGACCAGCACATTTGGCCCGCCCTCAGGCTTCGACTTTGGCTTTCCCGAGACCCCAACCGAGTTCCAAAAGAGTCTGATGCGCTTCGCTTTCCCCGTACCGCATCAGATCGATGGCGGTTGGTCTGTTGAATATGGCCGACCAGACCTAGGCTACATGCTCAAGGAGTGGGCGACTGGAGGCGCCGATGGAAGGGGAATCCTTGGCCGTCGGACGGCCGTGTTTGTGTGCGGACCCCCAGCCATGCGCGTCGGTGTCGCGAATACCGTCGCGCGCCTGCAAGCGGCCATTTGGGGCGACGACATGTTGGAGGAGATTTATCTACATACCGAGAACTACGCCCTCTGAGGCATGAACCAGGGGCTGTATTTGTAATGACTGGATGGAAATACCTGGCGTTCGATACCACGGGTTAAGGTTGTTGCTTTTTAATGAAGAAATTCCATAATATCGAGCATTTCTGGCAGAGCTTTCCATGGCTCCGTCGCTTTTTCCCCGCGTCATCTGAAAAGGGGGTGGGTCCGCATATACTCAAGTTGGGTCTTCCCTTAGAACCGCAGGAGTCTCTTCTGGTAGACCAAGGAGGTGACACGATCACCCTCTGCATTGAACAAGACCACATCTTCTTCTCCATATTCTATCAAAGTTCGAATCACTGACAAGAACAGCATACTTATCGCCGCTTCGGTCCCAAGTCTTTCATTATCTCAATGGGCCTCTGCCAAGACGGTCTTTGGCCACAGAAACGCGGGAGTGAGAGCCATCGTACGTGTAACGCGACATGCTGAGACCCGGCGAAGGGTCGGATTACAAACCACTAAGTAGGTGATGCTCTAGGTGTCTTCAAAGAACACTTTGTTCTGCTGCTCAGCTTGGAAGCTGCGGTGATCAGTGGTAGTATCTCCAGTACGGGTGCTGTTCCATCTGCCCGTCTTCGTCATAATCAATCACGACACCTTGTGGAGGTTTCCCGAACTCCCGGTCCCGACGCCGGTTCTCCCTGATGTTGGCAACGGTCACGAAAGCGGCGCCGACGGCGGTCCAGCAGGTGGCGCCTAATAGCGTCCAGAACCCCTTCTTGTAGGCTGGCGCGTCGGTCAACGGGAAAAGGTAACCTGTGGCTATGCCCATGGTGCTTCCGAACGACTGGTACAACCCGGAGGCGATGCCCTTCTTGATATCGCCGCAGCAGTTACCCGTGATGTTGCCGATGGTGAGCGTGACGCCGGACAGGATGCCCGAGGTGATCAGGAAGGTGGCGCCGTACCGGGCAGCCGCCGCCGTGTGCGGCAGGATGGCGAGCAGGAGGTCCCCGACAGCGGCGACGGCGGAGGTGGCCACCAGCAGGCCCGAACAAGACCCGAGCCGGTCGCTGGCGTAGCCGACGACGAAGACCATGACGATGGCGACGCAGTAAGGCGGCGCCGTCATGAGCTGGGCGCGGACGTGGTCGTAGCCGAACGTGGAGACGATGAGGGGTGTGAAGGTGGCGATGGTGTACGTCTGGAGCACCTGGCTCATGAAGATGGAGATGTTGAACCACATCCGCCAATCGAGGAGCTGGCGCCGGGTGTGCCGCCAGTTGACCCTACCGTGGGTGCGGTTCCCATCCCGCATCATGCGCCAGGTGGCGACGTCGCGCTCCCGCGGGGTGAGCCATCGGGTATTGTGCGGGCGGTCAGGGAGGACCCAGATGCAGAGGACGCCGAAAGCGATGGTGAGGAGGCCCTCAATGAGGAAGAGGGCCTGCCAGTGCTTGACGCGCGGGTTGGGTATTTTGGCGACCCCGTACGAGACCCAGCCGCCGAAGGCGCCGGCGAGGGGCGTCGCTACGAGGTAGATGCTGATCCGGCGTCCCCATTCCTGGTTATAAGTCAGTTTTGGTTCTGGAAGGTCGTGAGGGGTGGTGTAACGCACCGCTCGTGGGTAGAGCACAGTCGTCAGATAGGGTGCTCCTGTTATAAAGGCCGCTTCGAAGACGCCCAGGAAGAACCTGATGGCGTACATTCCCTGAGGACTCCCGGCCACCGCTTGAAGCGCTGCAAAAGCTCCCCAGATGATCTGGGTCGGACCGTCAGTACACATTGTTACCACGCCCGCAATTCTAGCTGTCCCGTTGTAGGTCCCGGAGGAGAAGGAAGGGAAAGCTCACCATGGCCGTGGCCAGATACAGCGAGGGACGGATGTACCGCATGGCGATGTTGGTGAACAGGTCGGCGATGCAGGTGCCCACGAAGAACATGCTCACGGCGAGCGAGAACTGCCGGCTGGAGAAGCCGAGGTCCTCCCGGATGCCCATCAGCGCGGCGTTCCCCAAGGCCCCGCGGTCCAGCCAGGTGAACATGTAGAGCACGAGGAGGAACGGCGGGAGGCGCAGGTCGATCTTGCGCCGCACCCGCCTCGCCTCCTCTGGCGTCACCGGCGGGTCGAGGTTGTTCATGCGCGCCACGATGTCATCGACGTCGTCGTCGCCGCTGTCGGCCACCTTTGGGTTATACGGGGGCGCCCCGCTGCTTTCCTCGACCGATGGTCCGTCCTTGTCTCTTTCGTCAGCCGCTGGGGCTGTCCTTGGATTAGCCATGCTGCCCGGGGCATTCGCTCTTTGAGGCTTCCGAGTCTCGTCGTTGGAGGAGGAAAGGGAGGGAGGGTTTGGATCACGATGACGGCCGATACGATGTGGATATTACCCCAGAGATGACCGGCCGCGGGTGGTTGAACGTTTGTATAATTAGAGCAACGACGAAGAGGTCTCGCGAGCGACCGATCACGACTTGTATTCGAGGGCAAGTTTTCCCCTCTTTGATGGGACGAAAGCCGAAACCCTAATTAATGGGTTTCCGTCGCATGTCCCCTCCCCTGTAAATGAAAACAACATACGGAGTAATCAACACGTCCCCCAACGCATTTGCCCTCAGACATGAATTGATTAGTCGTCGGTCGGTCCGATTGCAACCTGGCCCGTACACTCTCGCTCATCGTCAAAGGGGCCTAATTACGTAGTAATCACATGCGATCTTGGCTAAACCAGGCAGGTGAGTGACACTCTTTTGTTTTTTTTTTATGCTTTTTGGGGGGTTACATTGACCAGTTTAGTAGACAGTAGCTTTGCGACCTAAAGCATTCTAAAGTCTCCTGAATGCATGCTGTTCGGCAACCCTTATCGAGTACAAGTTATTATCAACTTATAGATTCTGTGGCGCATATGGTAGTGATCCGTCACGACTCAACCAGGCCAATGAGTGCGTTGCTTTTGCCGATAATTGCAAAGACACGTCTTCTGATCTAAGTTTCTTTCTATCATTTTAATAGGACCAGCCTATCTCTATCTCTGGTGAGGGCGGCCAAGTTGACATAAATTGACTTCTAAGCCCCAGCAGCAACAGAATGTATTATAGTCTGAGAGGAGTAAAAAGACGGCGCAAAGAAATGGGAGGGGGAAAGCTACAGAATATGGCCGGGAATACTTTTAACTGAATACTATGGCTTGAATACGCCATCTAGCCCATTCGCTAATCTCAGTGGGACCGACTAGTCACTGCTAGACTAGACTACCTCACTTGAGCCCCGTTTCCTCAAACCTGGCCTCACCATGGGCCGGCCTTATAGCAGTGCTCTCAAAGGCTTCGGCAATGCTTCCAAGTATGTCTAAGTAGTTGCTGTTGTCTTGCAGGTGCACGACGCGCTCTCTCGCTGCTTGATAACGTTATGTTCCACATTTGAGGGCCGGACCAGACGGATCTCGGCATAGGCCGGCGCCGGGTGGAACGGCCTGAACTGGCTGGTGATATACCGTATGAGTCCGGAGCGGCGCCGTGTCGGTTTATTGCTTGGGCCTCTTCTTGAGCTCACCGCGCTCCTTAACTAGGTCTGACATCTTGCTGCCCACCTCGGACCCGAGTGCCTTGAATCCTTGTACAATCCCGTCGCGGTCTCCCTCGCTTGTCTCCTGGCTCATCTTGAACTTGCCCTGCAGCCTGTCTATAGTGATTTCAATACCAATGATTGCCATTTTCTTGAGATCAATGTATTGCTCAGGAGCATCCGCCACTTCCCACGGTCCGGGACGGCCATCTTTGCCCGTGTACCCCATGACCGACGTCTCTCCATGCTGCGAGAGGTCGTGAATTTGATGAGTCAGGAAGGCGGACGTTTCCGCTGACTTGGGTTCGTAATAGATCTTGGCGCGCCCATATGCCTGCACAGCGGCGTAGTCCCAGGTCGGTACGACTTTGCCCGTGGTCGGCTTGGTCTCGGTGTAGAACTTTGGTGTTACATAGTGATGCGTCGGCGCCGTGAAGAGAACTAGTACTTCCTGATCAAGCACGTTACCGGTCCCGGTTCGGTTGTCGGCCGATAACGACGCGATAATTGTCTTGCTCTGAGGATTTGCCCGCGCCAAGTGTCCTCTCAGAATACCGAGCTCAGTTTCGCTGGACTCGTCTTGTACATCTAGAACCCAGGGGATGTGGCTGGACTGGATGAAAGGTTCGGAAGTAGACTGGATGGCGGTTGTCAGAACGCCGAGCGGGTAGTCCTTGATGAGCTGGCGAAGAGCCGGGATGCTGTTTTCTGCGTGGTCTGCGCGGAGATACATCTTCCAAGTGACAGGCGATGCTCGTTGTGAGTGTTTTATTTGTTCCTTGAATAGGTCGAAATGTTGAAGTTCTGCGATCAGCTTGCGTCTGAGTCAACGGTGCGGATTGCGTCGGCCTGCCGGATTTATAGAACCGGGTGTGACTAATGGGCTAGAGATATGTATCTGGAAGGGCGCGCGATCCACTAATGGTTCCCAATGATCACATGTCAAATCTGGAGGCAATTCCCATTATCCAAGTGCCATTTCGAATACGTGATTTTGAATACTGATATTAATACCACAGTTTTATTCTCAGCTTGGCGTTATCATTGATATTGTTTTACCTCAACCAGTTATTCTGGCTTCTAGGCACTCATTTACTTTGAACGAATGACATAGATCGATAATACATTACAGCGAACACCCCTTCAGAAAGCAATGAAAGAAATCAAGTCTATTGGCAGCGGATCGAAACTACACCTTACCGTGCGAATATTGTAGTCAACAACACCTGGGCTCCATCTCGCACACTACCGATCCCCCCACAGATGCTAGACCGCTAAGGACCATCGTCTGAGTGAAAAACATGGTCTTGGTGCTTCTGCCGCTGGTCTATGTCTGTGGCCTTCAACGAGCAGCTTGCAGAATGAAGACTCTTGGGTTTGTCGTCTTAGGCACCAACAGCTCTCAATCCCATATTCTAATATCAGTATTCCGATACAATATTGACGGATAGTCGCTCTAAACCACTATAAGCAGTCTACTGCAGCTCACCTGGTACATATGAAATATCACGATACGTAAAACCCCGATACGCAGTTGGCATATTTCGGAGACTGGACGGTTCATGTCACCTTCCAGATGTTTTGTGTACTGCCTTTTTTTTTATGGAGTCAGAACATCTGATCTGTGGTAGATCAACGAGACGACTTGGGAGCAGTCTGCTATGAAAGTCTCAAACGTCCTCTTTGAGAACTTCACTGAACGTCAGTCGGATTCACGGCAACGCAATCGCCAAACTGACGCGCTCGACGAATTTTGAAGCTATCTGCCACAGCATCAAGTTCAAGAACTTTAACGTCTCTTCGCCCTATAGTGGTGACCCCGTAATGACTTGTGAGGGCATCGATGATGGCATCAATATGCCCTGTGAGGGTCGACAGTAATACATGTAGTGAAGCCAAGGCTTCCCTGCCGGCCAAATGCCAAACTTCCAACTCTTACCCCGGTCAATGAGAATCCTTCGTAGAGAGCATCACATGGTCTATTTTGAGGTGAAGTGTTTGTAATTGGTTAGACCCAGGAATTCATTTCTGGTTCGAAAGCATTAATTAGGCATTAAACCAAGTCTATCTACGTCAAAATAATGGCTATGCATGCGAAGCAACGCTTTGCTAAATGTTGCAAAGACAATTTCAGGCCCCCTATTCGTCCGCCACACAGCTCGCATTCTTTTTGGCTCCGACAGCGGTGATGGTGTTGATTGGGAATATGATGCTCATGTTTTTAACAGGAAGAAAGTCGGTACCGGCGGTAGCGTTCCAGGTCAGAGAGTCGTCAAGCTTCTTGTAAATATGTGAAACACCGAGATACTGACGATCACGATCCGCGCCTGCAGTCCATATAGAGAAGACCTGGGAGTCCTCGGGAATAGGGCTGTTGTCAGGGTTGCGGCAGGGTACCCAACCCTGCTGGATGTAAATGGGGCTGCAGACGACATTGAAGCCGGGAGCGCCGGAGGTGTAGCCTTCTGGAGCGCTGATATTGAAACGAGCGCTGCAACCGCCGGGTGAGCAGCCCCAAATGTAGTTCTCTGCAGTCCATGTAGTGTTGTTGGCTTGGCGACGTTCGACGAGGGCGGCGTTCCTGGTTGCGCCCCACCGGATGTCAACGGCAGCGGCCGAGGTACAACAGACGACGGCGGAGATGATGGCAATGAAGCGGGCGGCGTGCATGTTGGCGAGTTTTGGGGGTAACAATGCTTTGTCAGGAAGGTTTGGACTGTGAGGGATGCAAGGTGTACAAGAAGATGAACCGGCCTGCAGGTGCGGGCAAGCTTGCTTTTTGAAGGACGAGATAGTGGAATGTTCTGTGGAACCACAAAATGTTTGCGTTCGAGTGTCGTAACCAATGCGGCTTGTCGCGAAACGAAATCGTGTGAGACCCTACAAAGTGGGAGATCTCTTCCCTCGGCGTATATACGAGCGATCTTCACCCCTAGGAAAGCCGAAGCTCCAGCATCGCGGCATTGGCATGACGAACGACAAGACGGAGCTGTGGGCATGAAAGATCTCCATGGTACCATGCCGATCCTTCGGTAGCACTGGCGGTGAATTACCGTGTGGTCCGCGCAAACCTCGTATCCGCACTAAAATGTCTCACTAGTGATGTCACTGGCAACGTTTGCTCTCGCTAGGTTCCGGTTCACGCTTGTGTACCGGTAGTAGGCTTAGCCCCAGCGAGCCGGAAAAAACGCAGGTTCTCCCCGGACCCAGTTCCGACTGGACCGAATTCGGGCAGATTCAATCGACGAAAGTTCTGTGTGACAGAAAAAAGAAAAAAGAACACCTACGGACGGGCGCACACAAGCTTTAATTTAGGACACGCATGGACCAGGCAGCAGTGTCATACCGGAGGCCATGAAAAGAGGCGTTTGAACGGCCGATGGCCGTGAATCAAGTGACCACTCCAAATTCGTGTCTCTCGGGTAAGCAGAGACGGCCCGACTCGAGTTAGTGAGAGAACGCGCAAGACATTTCACCTACTTGGGATGCATTTTTCGGGGCTTCTACGATGCCTGCCAACGTCTTTTACCGGTTTGCAGTGTTTGATGGCGTTTCAACTAAGACTCGATGGATTTCTCGGCAGGCATATGAGACTTGTCGGACTCTCATCGTGTGTTGGTTCCGAAACCAAGAAATGCGGTTGGGCGAATGAGTTGTGCTCGTTCTTCGCCCATATGAAGGTAATATCATTTAGTAGACTGAGAACTGAAGCACGAAATCCGGAAAGAGGTACAGGTGGTGCAAAGTCGTTGCAATTCAATGGTCATGCTGCCTGTCTATCAGTGAGACTTAGCACTCTCCACAACCTGCAAAAGGAAACGGTATTCCGGCCTGGAGATAACATTGTAGCGATGTTTTTACGAGCATCCCTTTGGAATATTTCCAGCTTCGACATGTCTGTTGGAAGTAGTTCCGGTTGATGATTCCTGCAAACGGTGTTATCTAGCGAAATTGACTCGGCAACTATGCCTCATTTGCCGGTCAAAATTGCCTGATTCGGCCCCGTAGGGCGGATTCTCGGGCGGTCCACTCGGGATCGCACCGGATTGCACGTTTCAACCCCAATGGGCCAAACTAGTCTGCTTGTTACAACTGTCGCCCGGGATTCATTTGGCCAACTCTGATTTATATCTATAATCTCCATCAACGGTCTAAACTGGTGCAGGCCGCCTTCGCTCCACGAGCACATTATCCTACAAAGTATTCAGGTACATTGTTACTGTAATCCATGGTGAGCTGATTTCTGTAGCCCAGTACTGCTCCAACCTTTCCCAATCGACTTCCTGGTTGCGGATGGAAAACCTCGACATCTTCCCTACTGCGTCTCGTTGCTGCTTGAGCTGAAGTATGTGCAGGACCTCGGCTTCTTTGAGCTTCTTGTCGAGCCCCCAGCTCTTGATTCGGGTCTTGGACATTCTTTCACTTGCCATCTCATCAGCCACTTGAACACCCTTGTTACAAGCAAGAGGTGAGACTTACGTGGCGAACAGGTTGTAGTCACGTTCCATGATCTGCTTAACTTGCTTCAAAGACTTATTATCATCTCGATAGAGTATCGTTATGATAGATCGATGGCAATTCCGGACATCATCTGTGGCGTAAGGCTTCCCTATGACGAGGGAACTGCTGATGTCCATGGTTGGATTAGACTGAGCTGACGTTGAAGTTTGGGTGATTAGGTTAAGAAAACAAGGTGATGAAAATTGGGAATCATCAGGATGCATATGGAGTTTTAATATTGCTGAGCTTGAGGCATCTCGCCGGCCCTCGTGAATGTGCAAGTTGAGGCAGATGTGCCTGCACATCTCATTGGCTCAGCACAGAAGGACTTCGCAGAGACCAGGTACGACGCATCAGTGCCCAGTCCGCAGTCAAGCTGTAGCTCTGGTGTCCATGGCGCCGGGCGCTCTTCCCTATTGGGTGTGGTCAGCAGGGCTCCTCGGTTGGGTAATGACTTATGACAAGGCTGTGGCCACGAAAAGACCGAGAAGCTGGGCATGGGAAGGAAGCGGGGTGAAAGTGGATAGTGGCCAATACTCCCAGCCATTCCAGCCTTAACGTCGCCTTCCACTCAGCTGTTTTGCAGCGCGTAATGTATCGTTCCATTGAAGACTAGGTGGCCACGCATTGTCCCGACTGTGCAAGCGGTTTGCAAAAGTCCCCGGCAGCTACTTCACCAGTCCGTGTGCCAGCTATCAAACAAGTCAGCAGGCGGGTGCCCACCGGCGTACCCGTACGAGCTGCCGCCATCGTACCGATGCCGGAACATCTCTGTGAACTCAGCCCACGTCATACCAGCCCCTCCACGCCGAACATCCTCCTGGTCCCCGAATCTGAAACCGGTGCCGGTGCCGGTGCCGGGTCCGTCCTGTGCTCTGCCAGGGAGGTCGCCCGGCGACCCAAACACTCCTTCAAAGCTCGTACCTCCTCCGCCGAAGAAGAACCCGGGGCCGCCAGAATCCCCGGCTCCAGCCCCGAACATCCCTCCCCCTCCGTTATCCCCGCGGCTTCTACCTCCAGCGCCAAACAGATCATCAAAGCGCGTTTCCTCGCCGTCTCCGAGGTTCTGCGGTCGGGGCCAGCCCCCCATCCCGGGCCCCCTAGCCCAATAACCGCCGCCGCTCCTCTCCTGCCGTCTCCTCTCCTGCGCTCCTCTCAAAGCCTCCATAAACACCCGTTCCCATTCTTCCTCAGACCAGGCGCCTCCGGCGGAGGACCCCGATCCGTTTAGTCCGCCGCCGAAAGGACCAGAGGACCAATACCCCGGCGTCTGCTGGTGCTCCCGCTGACGTTGCTGCTCGTTGCGGAGGTTCTCCTCGTAAAACCGGCCGGTGCCAAAGTACACCCCTTCAGACCCGCCCCCGCCCCCAGCGGTAGGGTCGTCCCGCTCCCTGCGCCGCTGCCGACTCCCCGTCGGAGGCTGGCCCTGGTGCCCGGGGCTGTTCCGGGCGGAGCTGGCTTCCGAGTAGCCGTCGAAAACGTATGCCATTGTGCGTATGGCACGTCTGTCTGTCGTCGTTGCTGCTGTGGTCGAATCGCTGTCTGGCGTCGCTGGTTTATAAGCCTGCCTTGGGTCTGATCAGCTCTTTTGTGCAAAAGGAGTTCGTGTCGGCCATGGGTGTTTTGTTTTATAGTGCTCGCCGCGGGTAACACGAGCAGAATGATTCACGACTCCTACCTGGTTTGAACAAGTGAATGTGAAAGCATGTTTTTGGCATCTGGGTTTTGATTGCTGACAGCAAACAGAGCAAATGATTCACCAGGGAAAAGGCATACGCATTACGAAATCAGTCGGTGTCACTGTAACAACTGGCATTTGACTGCAAGCGCAACGATGTGCGCTTACTGCGCGTCTTATATACAAGTTTCGAAGCACTTTGCCCCGTCGAAATTAATCCAGCTTCTCCTTCTCCGTATCGAAAGGAAAGAAAGCCCGGGGCATATGTTTGCTTACCTGCTTTGATAGGTAAAGCCGGGTATAATAGAAAACATACATTACAGGTATCATAGGTCCGGTGTACGTATGGTCGCTCCCATAGACAACGCCGCGCAGAAAAAGCAAGCAAGAAAATGGGGTAATTATGTCGTGGATGTGTTTGTCTCGTTGCGCAAAGAAACGGGTCCTTGGAAGCCGGCGGATGGCCTGACGTTCTGCATCTCCATGCTCTGGGGATCGTGCTTGGGCTGGTCGCGGAAGGCGCCGAGGCGCTGGTCCCCAGCGCTGTACTTCTTCTTAAATTGATAGTACGTGGGGGGTCTCGGCCGGCATAAAACAACAACCCAGTTCTTGAGCATGCTTCCTTGGGTAAAAGCCCGGAATCGTTCCTTCTTAATGAACTTGTGGGAGTTAATGTACTCTCTCGTTGTTTCGCCTCGCGCCATGAGGAAAATGTGATAGCCCATGAGGGCAGCAGGGTAGAGGAATGCGAGCAAGCCATAAATAACCATGGCAAAAGGTACGCGGAAGTCGTCAACGGATTGGCTAAAGGAGATACCAGACCGGTTCTTGTGGGCAATGATCTGGCCAAGGGAGGCGCCAAAAAGATAAAGGGAGAGGAATGTGGCGGAGGACACAAAGACAAAGAAATAGCGATAGTTGCGACGTCCAACGCAGTTGTTGAGCCAGACGCAGTGGTGGTCGTGGGTCTCGATACAGTTGTCGCAGAGGCGACAGTGATGAGCACGGGGAGGTCGCCAGATGTTGCATGTTCTACAATGCTTGACCGGAACCTCCATTGCGGCTGTCGATGATTCGGCCGACTTGATAAGCGTCCAGTCGTTAGTCGGCGGGCCAAGTCGGAGAGGATCTTCGGTTGGTTCGGCAGGAGGAAAGGCGTGAAGATTCCGAGGCAGAATCTAGAAACCGTTAGCAGTGACTTTACCAAAGGCAAGATTTACGACTTACACCAGGGTCTGACACGGAAGCATGGAGGAAGGAAGAAATGCAAATGTAAAATATGTAGGCGAAAGTAAGCGGAATGGCGGGGCTAACGTTGCTCCATAACCAAGGCGCAGAGAAGATGAAGAAGAGGAGGGCCGGAATGACGATGAACAAGCCAGTGGCCACGTTGACCGGTCTATGCTTGGTGTTCTGGAATCGGCCACCCATGCAGAAAACCGTGTTGCCCTCGAAATACTGGAAAACATAGCCGAGGTTGGACTTGGACTTGTTCAACTTGTTCAAGCTGTTGCTGTTGGCAGGCCCGGTCGCATGGGTCGTGTGGAGCTGAGGGGTCGAGGCAGTGGACGAAAGCTTCTCTCCACCAGGCAGGCTCCGGTTCGACTTGGTCTGGCTCTGGTCACCACGTATCGGCAACAGAAAGCTTGAGCGGAACGATCGCGGGGACTTGGCGGAGCTGGGTTGGCTGCCCCGCTCCTTGAAGCCTCTATCAACATTGAGGCTTAAGTTCCGGCTGTTTCGGCTGTTCCGGCTGTTACGTTGGTTTCGGTGTAACGGGGTGACGCTCTCGGATACGCTGCCGGCGGCGTAGTGGCCGTGGGTTGGACTCGTATTCGCGGTGATTCGGTCGTACGTTCCCTGCTCAGTGTATTCGGTTCCGCGAGACGGGGGCGGGCGAAATTCGCCGTCCTCGGTGAGCTGCCGCTGGAGATGGGCGACAGGGTTCGAAACGGGGTTGGAGATGACGCTGTGCCGAGCGTTCGGGCCGCCGCTGGCGACAGCGGCGGCCGCTGCGTCACTCTGACGGGGTTCAGGATCGACGTCGTCTAATTTGAGCTGTTGACGCGTTACGGGACGAGAACCGCCACGCTGGGCCTGCAGCTTCTGGGAACTCATGGGACGAAAGAAGGCGGAAGATGTGAGAGACGGCACGTGGCTGCGGCCGGTCGAGCTCGGCGGCCGGCTGGTGACAGAGCCAGCAGTGCTACCGGCCCCAATACTTCGCCTCTTGTCGTGGAGACTGGTGATATAATTCATCCGTGAGGGCGGGCCTCGTCGGCGGCCTTCCAAGGCCCCGCTGGTCCCCGTCTTGGCGGTTCCTGGCCGGGAGATAGAGTCCATGGCGGATTTGCTTCGAGGGTTGTTCTCGGAAGGGGCCTGCGCTGCAGCTTCCCCCTCATCGTCGGATGCAATATCGGTCATACGCGACGAGATGATACTCGGCGGGCCAGGTCGGTCGGAGCGCCCGGGAAACCGTGGTTTCGAAAAGGCGTCATTGCCGGTCGGAGCGTTGGCATCACCGGCCTGGTCTTTGGATGTCATGATTGGGGCGCTGCTGTCGAAGAGACGGCGACGCGATGGTTCTTTGGATATCCAGAAGTTCCAACACTATAACATGTCGCTGCTGGCGCGATAATCCAAGAACTATCGTAAGATTGGAAGAAAAGAATTTCGTTCGGGTTCGAGGAGGTCCTGTCGAGAAATAGCGTAATCGGTTCTCCGGTCGGACGCTTTGACGACGATGTTGTGGTTATGTCGCGCGGGGCGCGATGGGGGCTCGGGCTGGTCGGCAAGCCGGCTGGAGAAGGAAGGTTTTGAAAAAGCTGAAGCGCAAAGGTCGGTGGTGGGAGTCGGTATCGGAAGATCGAGTGGAGGAATAGGGAAAAGGGCCCGTGGATGAAGGCAGAGGGAGCGGATGGATGGATGATTATTCGTACCGTAATGAAGTCGTACTGAGTAGAGAGAGACGGAGAAAGGAAGGCTGGCGGGTATGGGCGGACAAGCCGTAAGTGACAATGAACGAAGAGAAGAGAAAAGGCTGACCAAAAGTGAGAATCCTGTCTTGCTTGCCTTGGTGTTCCTCTTGCGAGAATAGAAAGTGACCTAGGGGAAAGGCATGGATGGGGGTGGTCTGCGACGGGGGTGAGGATTGGAGCGCAGGATTGCAGCGCAGGATTACAGTTGCACGAGTGGGCAATCTGGACTTTCCTGAGGGGGCAGGGGCGACCATTGGTACGACCTAACTGTCTGTGCATTTGTGCATAAACCATAGTAAAATGTGCATAATTCTCGGAAAGAAGCTAGCTCCCTCGCTTAGTATTTTAGATGCCGTCTACTCACTGCTAACAGATTTCTAGCTGGCACGCACACATTCGAGATAGTGAGTGCGCTCGAGCCCCTCTCCTAGCGACATAGGCCGGCCATTTTATGCAGTACGGAACTGGCTAGACCGGGTTTGTTTGATTAATTTACCAGATTGGGGGCCTTGACTTGGAATTGGCACGGCAGCAACGGGCAGCAACGGGCCAGCAACGCGCCGCGCCCGCGGTTGGCTGCAATGCCACGATGTAGGGTAGAACAAGATTTTCTCTCTTGGACGCCGCCGGACGAGTCGTCCAGCTAAACATATCTATGACCACAAAGCGCAAAAGGGCGCACAGACTGGTGGTTCTCCTAGCCCCCGATGCTACTTGGCGCGTGGTAACCTCACGATGTTTATTGACTTTCAGGTGGGTACATGGACGACATACAAGGAATGCTCAACCGCTGTTTTTGTCTCGCTGGAGCTACCTTTAGTGTACGACGCGTCGTGCCCTGGTCCAGCCGCAACGCTTTGCGGTTCCCGCAATGAGATTTTAAGCATGCCGGGTTGGTCCGTCCTCGCTCCTATCTATGCCACACCAATTTTAACATGGAATGCTTGGACCGGCAGCACCGGCTAACGAATCATCCACCATCTGAATTATACCGAAAAACTATAGACGCCAACATCCCATAGATTCACGCTGTCTGTCTCTTTATGCCATACCTTGTGCTGCATGGTCTATCCCGTTCGTGTTCCTCCCATAACAAACCCCTGATAATGACAGTATCTGCACGTCTCGAAGACTGCCCCAGGCTCGAGAGCCTCTTAATATATCTTGAACAAAATCTTAAAAGCATATATAGTTTAATTGAAGAACGCACTGCCACTCAATGCGTTGATGGGATTTTCGCCGGAGGTCATATACAAAAATGCATCTACTCCTTTGTTCATTACGCCATCCATGAGAACATGACCGGGATAGACTCGAGAGTGCACCCTCCTTCATTCCAAGGCGTCAGGAGTTTGCTGACCAGTCATGAACTCGATGCTGTTCCTGACGTACCTTCCGTTTATGTAGGCACTGGCATCAAGATGTGCTGCCGATCCTGGCATGTGATCCCCACTACCTACGCCAGCCATGAAGTGCAACCTTGTCACTATCTTGGGCCTTGAGGTTCTTGTCGTCGTAATGCTTGCCCGAAGGGCAAGTTGCACCTCAAGTCGAAGCAAAACTGTGCCATTCTCGGAAATTCTGTCCGTTGAAGGGTACAATTACAGACCGTAGCCATGGGTACACACATTTCATTCATATCCAGGACCTGAGACTACGCATCATCAGGACTTATCATCGTAGACCTAACGATACTCGCCCGAAAAGATGCCGCCATCAACTTGGAACCCTAAGACTGCGGAATCGTCCCAGCAATGCGTTGTATCCATTTGAAAACCAAAGCTGCGAAAATCTGACATATCGAATCTTTACAGGGTGGTCTTTCGGTACAGCCAGATGAAGGCAATCGTCCAGCACGGAAGATGAAGATACTAGAAGACGCACGGATGAACATAGATACGCCGTGTAGCATCCCAAGACCGCTTAGCCAAATAAAAATGCAACAAAACGCTGCAGGATGAGGTAATGCCCACATCGCCGCGGATTGACCAATCACAGATGCCCGTCAGACCGGCCAATCGTTTCTCCCGCTTTTCGACCTTGATCCTGTGTCCGACCGAACGAACCTGAAGCTCCGAAATCATACGACAGCCCGAACCTCACATCACAACATCCGCTTGCCACCCCGTCAAAACCACCGCAACAATGGCCTCCTTCGTCACCCGCCGCGCCTTTTCTACCACGGTTCGCCGCTTGGCCCAGATCGATGCTCAGTCCAAGCAGCAGCTCACCCAGGAGTCCAAGCGCAACCCCGAACTCATCGTGCGTGATATCCCGTCCCTCCTCCCATTCAGCCGAAATCCCGATGTCATCGCCAACAGCCCTCCGTCCACCCACGTGTTCCTCTCTCTCTCTGCGTAGCCGGGATTCGGAGCCAGCCGACTTTCAGACATGCGACTGGCCCACGAAGAACCGATTTGCGCGACAAGATGGACAATACTGTGGCGGCCTTTTGCGCGAGAGGGTACGAAATAACGGGAGGCTAATCCAATTTTCATCATACAGATCCTCGGCGGTGTCATGGTTGCTGCCCTCGGCGGTGCCGGCCTCTACTTCGGTACGTCTTGACGAAACCCATCGGCGGCCCTCCCCCAACCCAACCAACGCAGGCTAATGTCTTTTTTTTCCCTCTCCCGCGCAGGCCGCTCCCCCACCTCCTCCACCTCCGAGAGCCCCGTCCTGAAGGCCGGTATGCCCTGGGAGACCGAAGGCCAGGGCAAGTACAAGTACCACCCCGGCGGTAACCCCAAGAACGAACCCAAGGACGCTCCCAGTGCCGTCAACACCGTCATCATCCCCGATGTCACCCTCCCCAAGGTGCGTTCACGACTCCCCCCTTCTACGCTCTTGCCTCCCTTGTTGGGACGCCGCCCGTGTTGGTCCGGCCACACGAGCAACATATCCCTCGGGATATGAAGCAGAAGAGCGCTTTCCAGGCTGACCATCATGACACAGGAACTGCACGACAAGTACAACAAGTGGGGCAAGGATGGCTACCCTTGAACAACTAACGATACCTGTCTGTTGAGAACGTGTTTTGGTGCCAGCACCGCATCGGGCGAAAGGGTGGTTTGTATGTGTAGATAGGGAGAATTAAGATTTTACCACAATTGCTACCTTTTGACGCCAGCCACCACAACCATCATGCCGGCGTCCAACTAATTATTTAGCGGTCGTAAAACTTGGAAGCGTCCGACAGCTGTTGAGAGGGGAAAGATGAGAGCATTTGTTTCGCGTCGGTTTCATTGGCATGGAATTAAATCATGAGGAGGCAAAAGGTACTCCCAAAAAAATGAGAAAAAAAAGACTGCAATGATTCCAGCTTTGCCCACAACTCCACAACACCCCGGGGCCCGCGCCTCGCCATCTCTTTCCCTCTCCCTCTCTCTCATCTCCGTGCTCTCCCTCCCCCTGCCAAGGCTTACGAGGCGAGCTGCTCGATCTCGTCTCCAGTGAAACCGAACAGGTACAGCAGGTCCAGGAGGCTCTCGCTGTTCAGCCTCGTGTCGGCCTCCATCTGCACCATCGGCTTAGCGTTCCAGGCGACGCCCAGCCCCGCCGCCTCCATCATTAGGAGATCGTTGGCGCCGTCTCCGACGGCGACGACTTGCGACAGGTCGATGCCCTCCTTGCCGGCGATTTCGAGCAGCAGATCTCGCTTCCTCTCCTTGCCTACGATGAGGCCCTTGACCTCGCCCGTGAGCCTGCCGGCGTCGTCGATGACGACCTCGTTGGCATGCGCATAGTCAATGCCGAGCTCGCCGGCCAGCCAGCTCGTGAGAGGGAGGAAGCCGCCGGACAGCACGGCTGTCTTGACGCCGAGGCGCTTCAGGGCCTTGAGCAGGCGAGGCACACCATTGGTCACATCGAGGACGGGTCTCAGCTGCTCGAAGAAAGAGGCCGGGAGGCCCTTGAGGAGCTGCACGCGCTCGCGGAAGGCGGCGTCGAACTCGAGCTCGCCGAGCATGGCGCGGTGGGTAATGTCGGCGACGCGGGCGGCCAGGTCGGGCGGGTCCTTGATAGTGGCGGCGAGCAGGTCGATGACCTCCTGCGTGATGAGGGTGCTGTCCATGTCGAAGACGACGAGCCTCGGGTGGCGGCGCCACAGGGTGTCGGGCTGCAGGGCGACATCGACGCTCCACTCCCTCTCGAAGCGGTAGATGAGCTCGTGCCGCCGCAGGTCGGTCAGACTGAGGTAGGTCTGGCAGGGAGACGGGTTGAGGGTCAGCTCGACGACGCGCGGATTATCCTGGCTATCGAGGCAGCGGTGCGACGAGCTGTAGTCGGACTCGCCGTTGGGCAGGGGGAAGGTCGACATCAGGTGCAGGAACGAGGTCACGCACATGGGCGAGACGTAGGAGCCGTACAGGTGGTCGAGCTTCTCGGCCTCCTGCGTCGGCGGCTCGAGCGGGAAGGACTCGGGGTCCTGCGTCGGGGCGAAGTTGGCCGGGAGGGACTCCTTGCCGCCGGAGTGCTCCGAGGTCAGCTTGGGCGGCGACGCGACGCGGCCGCCGCTCCGGGTCGCCGCCGCCGCCGCCGACGTAGCGCTCTCGCCGTTCGGTTTATAGAATAGCGTCGCGACCAGACGGGACTGCTTCTTGCCCCCGGCGGCGGCGGGGGCGCAATTGGGGTGCGAGTAGCTGTGGTTCAGGCCATGACGGATGGTGGGCGGGTTGTCTTCGGAAGGGATGCCATTGAAGCCGGCATACTGCTTATAGTTATGAGCCTGCTGAGACGGCGAGACAGCCACTTTGCTGAGGTCCTCGACGACGGTGTCGATGCCAAAGCGACTCTCGGGGTGCTGCGGGGGCCGGTACTGCTGGTGCTCGCGCAGGAACGAGCTGGACCTCATGGATGAGGACAGCTGAGGTCGCGGCGACGTCGTCGACCTGGCGGGGCTTGGTTCGGCCATGGCGGATACAGTGCTTTGCGGCGCGGGAGGGGGGGCGGAAGGGGGGTCTCAAGCTAGGTGTGGACGGAGCAGGCTTAGGTCAGAGCGACGGGCGTAACAGGGACGAGCAAGAGTCAGGCGATGAGGGCGGGGAGTAAGCCTGCAGCAGCAACACAGCTGTCAGCGACGGTAGCTGCGTCTTTGAGGGAGGGATGGCGCGGAGAGGTGAGGGGAAGGTGAGGAGGGAAAGGGGAGGAGAGGGGAAGAGAAAGCTCGGAGCTGAGTCCTGGTGAAGGAAAGCTTAAAGACTCGGCGAGCCTGCAATCATGTTTCGTAGGCAAAAACATCGTTGAGGCACACGCTGGACGCGGCGGCGGAGGCTGGTGCAGCAGCGCCCGCCCGCCCTCTGGGCACTGAGAGCACTGTGAGTCTAACTGTGGTAGTGCATCCCACCCCACCTGTCCGTCACTGGCCCGGAGCCGATTGTTGCCCACAACCCCCGTGTCCGTGCCGCTGCGCGGCGTCCCATTGGCTGTCGCTGAATCTGTCCAGCGGAAAGGTGGACTTCAAAGTCACGTGATTACCCCTCTGAAAAAAATTGATATGGCGAGGTAAGGTGCGGCATTACTGGTGTGACACAATAAAGGTTAAAAGGTTCATTACATCACTCTCGGAGCCCCGAACACGTGAGACGTTGGCCAACATGAGATGGTCAAAGGTTCATTACATCACTCTCGGAGCCCCGAATACGTGAGACGTTGGCCAACATGAGATGTCACTGCCCGGGCGGGATCTGCGGGACACAACACATCAACGTCGTCCGAAGTTGCCGACGTCAGTCATCAGGGGTGACGGTGGCGGCACAGCCTTACCACTATCGTGTACTAGGTAGCGTTCGCAGAACGCACACTGGCCTCAGCCTCTTTTGCCAGGCCAACCCGACACTTGGTGACCGAATGGTGAAGAAGCCCTTGCAGTAATGAGAGCTAAGATATCATACCCACCAGTCGCCACAGCAGCAGCCGACTAATCGTTGCTTCGGGTTCAGAGAGAGGGCTCCGCTGACAGAGAGAAACGGATCACAAGCGGGAATAACGGCGCGCATTTCCCACCCAGACGCAAGGACAGATGCCAGATCGTGATGTATCTGGAGTGGCCGGTGGCCCCCTTCTCGTCTAGGCGCCCGCCATTGGGGTTCTGGCCTGGGTTGTTTGCTGATAACAAGGCCCCTGAGACGAATGAGCCGTCAACCCAGAGCGGCCGGTCCGGCGTGTCTTGCCGGGCTTCTGGTCAAGTGAACCTGGACTTTGCCTATGATTTGCCGAGAGATGTCCAAAGAAACGCAAATCTCCAAAAAAGGTCTTTGCTTTACTGTGTTTCTTACCGGAAACCTATTTTTCTCAGAGTCATGGATCGTGATGAAGAAGCCAGGCTTCCTTGAAACACAGATGGCGCCACCTTCTTGTTCTCAGGAGACGACGGAAGCAAATGTACTCGGGGCAGACGTCGGCAAGCGAGGCCTCGGGCGGTGATAAAAGCTCGAAGCACGCATCTCTCGCTGAAACCCCCCCAAGGTGGATTGATTTGTCAGAAACTCCCACAGCGGGCAGCCATGGATGACACTTTGGATTCTCGTATGCGGATGGATTCTCGTATGCGGATGGATTCTCGCATGCTGACTGGCAAGGGTGTCGGGATGGATTTATGCAGTTCAGTGTGAGATGCTGGCGCCCATTTTCAAGTTGGCAGTCCTCCGACACCCTCGACGCCGACGGCCGGGTGGGTCGCCGATTACCGTGCCGGCCGACCGCCGAGTGCCGTCACCGCATCCACTAGGCCAAGCCGCTTGGTGGCCCATGCAGAATCACGCCTTCTTGCATCACCATGGCGAATCGCGCGAGTGTTTCTGCACAACCAAAAGGTCCCTCTTTTCCCTTTTTTCGCACCTTCGCTCATGATGAGCATCGGTTCAGAGGGTCTCTTTTGATGATGATCGATACGGCAGAAACGGGCCCTAATATCTTATACTCATGGAGTCACGGCTCCCGGCTGCCGGGGCCGGTTGTAGGGCCAGTTTTCGCAATGAAATCCACTTCCGGCTCCCGGGGCGATGGCGCAATTGCGAGATGTCCGCGGTACGGAGCCAACCGTGAGTTCTGTAACCAATCATGTCCTGTTTCATTCATCACGAATGGCTTAGCGTCGATGTCGTGATCGCTCCCAGACCACCGTCTCGTCCTTGGAGATGCAAATTCCGCGGCGTATCCGTACAATGCTGATAGCCCAAATGCTCCGGACAAGCTGCGATTGCGCAATACTTGGGGTGGACTCTTGTGGTCCGTCGGCCTCTTGGTTCGATCGGGGTGCTTCTCCAGGAAAGGGGCGGAATCCGAATTAGTAATGCTGCTTGGTGATGGCCCTTGTGCCCAACAATATGATACACCTCCCGCCTCCCTTCTCGCGGTGTGAGGATTCCTAGCTTGCCCGCCTCTCTGTTCTCACAAAACAACACCTCTCTTGCCTTCTCTTCATATTCCCAAAAACCTAACTCTGCCCCAGACCTATCTCGTGCGTCATCTGTATTTCACTTCATCGCTCTTGACCAAGCCCGTATCGAGTGAACCTACGCCGGGTTTTCAACGCACCCTCTTACAGAATACCCTCGTCATACCCCCGGTACACCCCAACCGCACGCCTCTTCACCCAAACCCTTCTGCCAAATTCTCGGAACCTTCGAAAAAAATGTCGTCTGCCGTCGAGTCCGCGACCCGGACGTCCTCAGTGGCGTCGTCGCCTCGGCTGAACGCTGTCGAGTCCGCAAAGCTAGACCGCGCCGAGGTTGAGTCCGGGTACGGTTCCGCCACAGATGCGTCGTCCACTGCGTCGTCCATCCCCGCGCTCCCCCTCGTCTCCCTCACCCTGCCGCACCTCAAGCACCTCAACGATCAGCTCGAGCACATGCACCCCCTCGACATCCTCCGCTTCGCCAAGGTCATGTTTCCCAACCTCTTCCAGTCAACGGCCTTTGGCCTAACGGGCCTCGTGACCCTCGACATGCTCTCCAAGATCCAGAAGGAGAATCCCGCCGCCGCCAATGTCGACCTCATCTTCCTCGACACCCTCTACCACTTCAAGGAGACCCACACGCTGGTCGACCGCATCCGGGCGCGCTACCCCAACGTGAAGCTGCACGTCTTCAAGCCCTACGGCGTCGACTCTGTCGAGGAGTTCGAGGCCATGTACGGCCCCAAGCTGTGGGAGACCGAGTCAGAGATGTACGACTGGGTCGCAAAGGTTGAGCCCCTCCAGCGCGCCTACCAGGAGCTCGGCGTCGCCGCCATCCTGACCGGCCGCCGTCGCTCGCAGGGCGGCGCCCGCGACAAGATCCCCGTCATCGAGGTCGACGACGAGCGCGGCGTCATCAAGATCAACCCCATGGTCAACTGGTCCTTCAAGCAGGTGCAGGAGTACATTAAGACCCACAACGTGCCGTACAACGACCTCCTCGACCAGGGGTACAAGTCCATCGGCGACTGGCACTCGACCGTCCCCGTCAAGGACGGCGAGGATGAGCGCGCCGGCCGCTGGAAGGGCCAGCAGAAGACCGAGTGCGGCATCCACAACAAGAAGTCGCGGTACGCCCAGTACCTCGAGGAGATGGAGCGCAAGGCCGCCGAGGACAAGAAGGCCGCGCCGTCGTCGTCTGCCGAGGCAGAGAAGTAGGGCGAGGCCGCTGTCGCGCCCTTCGTCAAGGCCGAGAAGGAAGAGCAGGCCGTTGCATCCATATAAAGCATTTGGCGGGCTCGTGTTTGAATTTTGCTTTTTTCATAATGAACTGTATACATGATGCATGACGGCGTTTTGGGGGTTCAAAAACCAAAGAACGGTATGGGACAGCATGCTGGCGCTCCGGGATGAGTTGGGCCACTAAGGCCAGTATAGATCTAGCGTTTCGCAGATACTCGATCCTACCTTTTAGATAGAAGAATCGAAATACGATAAAGCAATATGACTTTACTTGGGGAGGGTGATATGATGTGTGAAGAGTGAAAGTAAAGAGGACGTTGCGAGGGCCCAACTTTGCGTCCCGCCGAGACCCCGCATCGGGGGCAATAAGTGGGAACGCCAGACTTCGTCCCATAGGGTCCTAACGCACTATTACGCGATTTTGCAGCTGGTCTGCTAGAGCGCTGACATGTTCTCCAAAAGCAGATGTGGCCCCCGAAGACACCTCTTGACCACTTTCCACATTGCGAACTTCGGTGGAGGTGGCTTGCCATCACCGCCATGTGCTATTGATAACGGCTGCACACAAGCTTCAGTGTTTTGTTCGCCCACTTCGACCACCGACAACGAAACAGCGACTCTGGGTTTACTTTGGTTTGTACCCGACTACCTTAACTCAAAATTCACGTCCTACGAAAATAGGTTATAGTGCCTGGAAGTGACAGTGAATGACCAATTTAAGTCCTGAACAGACCCGACAACCTATGGCAGACGCCAGCAAGAAAGGACATGAGAACCGGGGCAGGGTTAGTGATAAAAAAGTGAACCCAAATGAATTGACCGACGACCGCCGTCTCGTGGATGTCATTGAATTGAATACCAAAACATACTACATTCATTACATGGAGAGTTCTGGATCATATTGCTAATCATATTTTTATGCGGCAATATGTGACAAATGAATGATATTGTATAGTTGTTGGTCGCAAAGACTTGGAAAGACTGTGTAAAACCCCAAAACTGTTCTTGGTGGTGCTGACACTTCGACTATCCACTGACAATTCGAGAGAATTGTATTCAAGAGCTTACACGGTCCTGCAGAGCATGTGATGAACTTTTGAGAATTATGAAAGGCGGTTCATTGTCATGAAGATAATTCAAAACAATTCTTTGACAAAGGCCTGGATTCAGACATAATGATCCCTGCGTTTCAAAATACCGCTAAATGGCGAGCTACTTCGACTACTTCATCATGCTGCCGGCCTCCCGAGATTTCTCGAGTTGTTGCTGGCAAGCTGACATCATACGATGCGTGTCAAAGTGGAATAAAAACCTAGATCCGGGCCGTTCGAGGGTACCGCCCGTCCCGCCCGGCTCAGACGAAGCGATAAGTTCACCGCAGCCAGGAAACAGACAATCTGCGACGTCTTGGAATAATTTAAAGCTGCTTGGCAACATGGTCTGGTGTCTATGGTCCCAAGTGGCTGGCTCTGTCAGGCGAATCAACGGCCTCAACCGGCAATGTGCACAATAGATGGCCGCCGACTTGGCCGAGTCACACTTTATATTAAAACCGCAACACCACCGCGCGACCTCACCGCCGGGTAGCCTAATTCAGCCGAACTCGCGCTTGAGCTCACTTGGTCCTGCGAGGTGGCACTGAGAGGGTTGCCTACTATGAAAATAAGCTTGGTTTGTCGGCTCGCTTCCCGACGGGACACTGTGCGTATGTCTCTGATACGGCACTGTGAGAATACTTCGCAGATTCCGGCAACCACTCACACATTTTTTTTTTTTTTAATTCCATGGTGAGTCGACCTCACTTACACGCCAGCCACGTCCCCAGAAGCAAGGCAGCCCAAACGCCCGACGCAACCCCCCTCCCTGTCGGCAACGGACGGCATAACAGGGCGAGAGACGCAGAAACTCACATAGGCCTGCGTTTCTTCCCTTGGAGGTTTCTTTGACCCAACCCGACCCCGGTCTACCCCCACTAAATCACGGAAACCATGGCGCCGCACCAGCGGACGAGGCAGCAACTGCCCTCCCCGCCGGCCTCCTTCGCAACCCGCAAGCACAGGATCTTGGAGCAGCTCAGCGTGCCCGACGCAGAGTACACCGACGCCTCGCCCAAGGGGTCCGTGGACGTCGGTATCCGCGAGCTCATCGACGAGCTCAACGCCCTCGACGGCTTCGTCACGACGAGCAGCTGCGCGGGGCGGGTGAGCGTCTTCCTAGAGGGCCGCAGGGCGCCGGCCTCTGCTCCCGCTGGGCCGGCCATCCATGCCGAGACTCGTTCTCAGCCTGCAGCCCAGACAGGGGACGGCGATGACGACGGAGACGACGACAGCATCGTTAACAGCGGCAGCGCCGCCATGACTATAGCTGGCCCCGGGGGTAAGGGAGGCGGCGGCACGTGGTTATTCGTATCGCACGACCCCGTACCCGAATCGCACGATGGGGATGACGAGATGCTGCGTCGTCTGGGTCTCGTGGACGAGAAGGAGGTAGCCAGCCACCGCCTCGCCGGAGAGTCGGGCAGCGCTCAGCCTGGGCGACGGAGGAAACGACTCATTCACTTCAAGTTCGAGCCCATGGTATGCAGCCAACCCCCCCCCCCCCCATCACCTCATGCACACACCCGCGTCCTACTACTCATCCATGCCCTCCCTAGCCCGCTCCTCCCAGACTCCCTGTCGCCGAGGCCCATGTCGCCTTGGAAACCTTACATACCGCGTCCTGCATACACAGCGCTCACATGACCAACTAACCAAAAAACCTCACCCCACACTACAGATTCTCCATGTCCTGACGGCTTCCCTTGCTCACGCCCAGCTCCTGCTCAAGTGCGCGTTCGCGGCCGGTTTCCGGGAGAGCGGCGCCCTGAACCTGCTCCCCGCCGCCGCCCCTACCACACCGCAAGACGGCTCCTCATCGTCGTCCTCGCCGCCAGTGACGCCTATGGTGGGGGTCAGGACGATGGGCCTGGCGCTCGAGTCCCTGATCGGCTACGTCGACGATGACGACAGCGACGAGGCCCGACACTGCACCGTCTCGGCGAGCTACCTGCGAGACCTGATGCAGATCGCCAACGAGCGCTTCGCGGAGAACGCGGCGAGGATCGCGAGGTTCCGCGCCGCGCTGCACACGGTCCTGGCAGGGCCTCCGCCCAAGCTGGGCGAGGGGGGCGCCGAATGGGAGGACGCTGCTGCCAGGCGGGAGCGCAAGAGGGCCGAGGGCCTGCGTCGCAAGGAGGAGGTGTTGGCTGCTAGACAGAAGACGCAGCCTCAGCCTCCAGCTGATGGTCGGAAGACTCCCACAGAAGACCCGGCCGGGCTACCTGAATACGAACTCCATGGGCTGTGATGTGACCAAATCCATTCGCCATCTATACACTTTTGTCTGTATCCCCCACCAGTAGCATGGTTGTTGTACACTTTGGCATTCCGCCCCCCTACCGCCCTACTGCTGCCCCTCTGTTTCTCTCAGCTGGCATGTCGTCCATCCATCCATCCATCCACGACCGCCATCACTCCTTGCCATGGGCCGCCAGAACGCAGAAATCATATGCCAAAAGCCCTTGACAAAGTCTCACCCCTCCACTGCTCCCAGGGATGCCCTCTCACGAGACAACCTTCTCGACCCAGCCCCTCTCTAACCGCTTCACCTCATCCTTGAACGCCTCGACCTCCTTCCAGCAGTCGAGCGGCCGGCGGTCGTGCTCGAGCAGGCAGCGAACGACGTTGCCGCGCGCCGTCTCCACGCTCTCGGGCAGGTCGCGCACCTTCTTGCGCTCCGACAGCTTGGCGCGCAGGGTCTCGATCTCCTTCTTGACGGCGTCGTGGCTACGCTGCCCTTCGGGCGCAGGCTTGTCCTCGGCGGCGATCTTCTCGTGCGCGAGCTTCAGTGCCTCGGACTCCTTGGCCTGCAGGCGCTTCAGCTCCTCGGCGACGCGGGCCTGGATCTGGAGCTCGGTGAGTTGGGAGCGGGAGAGGTCGGTCTGCGGTCCGAGTTGGCCGGTCACTGGTTAGCCTTCTAATTATCTCTTCTGTCGAGGAAAAGAGCGCGGACGGGGGGGGGAGCGTTCGATGGCGGGACGCCAAGGCGGAGGGTGATAGTGCGATTGGGCCAGCTAGAAGCCCAAAAGACAAATGCGCTCGGGGAGAGGGGGAGGAGCTTACCTCAGGGCTGGTCTGCAGGGACTCGACGAGATCGTGTGAGATGCCGCTGGGCGTGCTGCTGCGTGCGTGATCTTGGTCAGCCGACGATGCCCTCGGCGGACGCAGGAGGACGAGACAATTGGGTAAGGGCAGGACTTACGCCTTCCACAGGTGTGGGGGCGTGTTGGACGACGGCTTGGACTCGCTGGCACCCATGATTGCGGCCTCAATGGCTGGAGAGGTGATTTGAATGTTTGGCCGTGTTGATATGGAATTTTCCGGACCGTGGACAGCGGTCGTCAAGCTGCGAGCTCCCATGGGCCCGGCACAGGTGCACGTGATGGGACGGTAATCCGACGGGACGCTTAGTCATATTTCAGTGATGTCCACAGTCTTTACCGACGTTTCCCCGATGACGTCTTGCTGAGTCATCTACGATCGACTAACGTTTGTAAGTTTCCAGAAGCAAAGAGGTGTGTCCTCCAGTTGATACCAGCTGCGGCAGCTTGCCGTTCATGATCCACAGCCTACGAGCACGTTTTGGAAGTTTATGATGCGGCGGACTATCTCTCAGACCGTCGTCTGCCCGCTGCAAGACATCCCCAAGCAACCATCGCGTGACCTCGAATTTAAGATATTTATGATCTTTACTGTTTCAAGAATCGCCAGTGATAGTTAGGGGAGGTATCTGGACCTGGGAAGAAGAAGGTCTATCCCCATCGTTTCATGGTTCACTGAGATGAGCAGCAAGGCTATCTAGCCGAGATCTCCGAGACTTCAAAGTCTGGAATGGCATGTGCTCAGCGCCAAGCGAGGCTATAGCCTGTGTAGATATGCCGACAGAGCCAGGTGCTTCAGGAAGAGACAGCCCAAGAATCAATATCGAATGACGCGGCCTTGGGCAAACCATCACGAGCCAGTCGCATCTCTCGGCTTCATCTGCACACATTTGTCTGGTACTGCTTGCATGCCACCGCTCACCTGAAGTGTGAGGGGCGGGCAATATCGTTGAAACGACAGGTCGCGGAAGAGCAAATGACTTCATGGGGGACTGTTCCGCCTTCTCATCCACCGCATCTTCAGTCTTCTAGGCTCTTCCCCGGGCACGCTGCCAGGTCACTAGCCTCCCAGGCTCTCACCCCTCGCAGAAGCCCGCTGCCCACCTCGGCCCCTCCAGTGCAGGCAGTGGTATTGTACTTCGTACTTCGGCCCATCTGGACGACCCATCCAGGCGGCTGCGAAGGGAGTCGAGAGAAAGAAAACTGAGTGCTCTTTACGGTTCCAGCTCCGAGGTGAGCTCGGGTTGGTTAATATGTTTGCAACAGCGCTTGACAGGGGCTTCCCGCTGACCAGCACAGGGGCCTCGGCGCAGATTTGGTTACACCGTCACATCCCGCAATTTGTGCGCGGCTGGCCAAGTAGTAAGGGTCAAAGACGCCGTGGGGAAATCAGCGGGCGATGTGATGGAGTAGTGCATATGGGAAGACATTCCCTTTCTGGGGAGCATTCTGCGAATGCCCTCTTCCTTTGGGGTTCGGCAAGAGACCAGGGAGCCCCTACATCAATGGAGCCGCATGCGGCGACACGTAAAGCTTTGACATTATTTGACGGAACCAGACAAGCTCGGCGAGCTGCGGGCGTGGCCGGACTGAAGCTGGAGGTCGTCGGCAGAAGTATGAGCTTATTTTCCACGAGCGGGCTAGATAGCGGCCATCAAACGAGTAGTTGATTGATTAATGATTGTCGTAGCACCATGGACCGAGTGTTATTGATCTCTGGATCACAGGACCGCGGGGGGGGGGGGGCATGAAGTGGGTGGCCACCTCGGTCTTCACGAGAAGGGGGCAGAGGAGGTGAGTAAGCAGGAGACGTCGGGCTGCTGTCGTCAGATGCCGTCAAATAGATACCATGGCACGATCGGCCGAGAGGGACGGCAGAACATTACGACGGAGATATAGGGTCGATGAAGCATGCGTGGGGCTGATTCACATGATCCGAGAGTTCGGCCAAGAAGCGATGATGATAGGCAGGTTTGTTTTTTTCAATATGCCGTACTTCCCAGGACTCTTCCCGTTCGTCATGACCCAAGCACCAGGTGCAAGGACGGTAAGGCTTATGGAAGGGTACGCATGGCGCAAGATGGATACCACAATAATTGCACATCATATGGCCCGGTTCGGGCATCATGCCTGGGTTGCTGTTCCACAGCGTATCAGTACCTATTCGGATGGCATGGATGCGGTACCCTTACATTACCTACTGCGTAGAGTACTGAGATATAAGATGGATCTTGGTCTTTGTGGCGCTCAACGAGCGGTTCCGTGTTCCGGGAACGATCGGGCAGAGCCCAGAAAGCTGAGTAGGCGACGGAACCTAACGGGAATCTAAACAAAAGAGGGAATAACACCACAACGTCTTTGGCCCGTTTTTAGCCCATTGGCTGGCTGGGCTGTTCGACGAGAACTGTATGACCATTAGGGCTCAGATAACGAGACTAGTGACAACAAATACCGGGTCATGGGCGGGAATGGCGGCGGCCCAGCCAATGGTTGGAATTTCTTTTCGAAGCTTCTATTCATCTGAACATGCTCCATGGCGGCTGGGCAGAGCAGGGCCTTGTAAGATTAGAGGAGACCCGAAGTTCTCGTCTTTTGTCGGTCATTTCGGTGGATGCAGTCCACGGCCAGCGTGCAAGGCGCCGAGTTTTGCAGCTTTCACCATGCAGCGAGCCATGTGCGAGGGCGAAGAGAAGGAAGGGGATGACGGGTCTAGTTCTCCATCGACCAGAAAGCGACAAATCACACTCGGTCGAGAAGGGTTGCCAGCGTTGCTTGGCATCTTTGGATAGATGGATCAAGTGCGGGCTGGTGTGGTTGGCAAGCCGCAGTGGCGCCAGATGATTGGTCGAGCGTCAGAGCTTGCTTTGGCCCCTCCAGCCCTTGTTCGTCCGGTCTTTCCCCTGTCATTTCCACGCCTGTGGGCTGTGGTCGTCCGTTCGCCCCCCTGGATGAAGACCCCGGTTGGCTGGCAAGCCCTCTCGCAGGGATGCGGTCTTGTCCAAACATACAAACAGCGCTGCCACACCTGGCACACCATGAGTTAAGCGTAGCCAGTCAAACCAGTGGGCGGCCAAGAAAATGGCCAGGGACTGGGAAACACTGGTCCATTGAGGCCGCGCCTTTGGCTGGATAAGACAGTCAGGTGAAATCGCTCAGCATCAGCCTCAGCAGCCCCGCGGCCGGCCTGTCGACTGGTGCGGGGGTCCCTGGGATGCACACTGGTTCCGCAAAGCACAGAGTTTGAAACTGCTCGCCGGGCTATTGGTTCTAGTCAAAAGAAGCCCTGGGAGGGCGTTGGAATGCAGACCCTTCAGCTCCTGATCAGTTCGTGACTCCTGAGTCAAAAGGGTCGAGTGAGACGACTTGCGACGTTGGATTCGAATGCGACAAAGGGACCATCTTCTTCATCTCATTCCAGCCGTCGATATTGTGACGTCGCCGCCCCGCGATAACGCACTCGACCATGGGCGGTTGTCAGAAGAGCAATTAAGGTGTCGAGAATTGAAGGAAGGGAGTGGAAATCACGGCAATCAGTGAATCCATGCACCCAGGAGCCATGTCATCCATTCATCCTCAGCGAACGGTACGCTGGTCCTTGTTGATTGGCTTCGAGGGATCGGCTCCCTCAAAGCCTGTCCCTGTGTGTCCAGAATAGAGTGACTGTGCGCGCGTTGAAGGCATCGCCCATCCGCGTCATCCCTGCAGTTACTTTGGGTGACTTGTCTGTTCTTGATGGGTGCCTTGACCCCTCGCTGGCCCCATTCCTCCCTTTCGAGTCTTGAACAAAGTGTAAAGTCCCTTTTGGCTCGGGTATGACCCTGTTCCTGTATCGCTGGCTTGCCTGACTTGCTCTATCTGCCATCTTCGTCGCGGCAATCGGTTGGTACTGGCGTGAGTAGCGCTGGCGTATGGGCTGATGAGCAAGGAGGGTGATTCCACCCCAGCACCCAAAATATGAGGATAGAGTTAAACGGACAGATGGGTGAGCACATTTGGCCACGACATGCCGGAAGTTAACCCTCTCCCCGTCCATCAACTGAGCAGTACGGATAGCGCGGCCGTATCTGTACGATTCAGGTGAGCACCTGGGCACTATGCTGTATATACGTAAGCGCGCAAAAGAAAAGAAGAAGAAAGGGGTACATACGGTACGTGTATTGCTGGATTCACCACGTGTGTATCCGTATGTGTGTGGGCAAAGCACGCAGGTACCAAGGCACGCCATGCCCGACCTTGTCCTGCTTCGTCCAATCGCTGGCTCGCTATGATCATTGGTGTAGGCATGCCCGTATCGGTGTGTGTGTGTGTGTGTGTGTGTGTGTTGTAGGTGGACTCACCGGCTTTGGCTGGCTCTCTCGTCTTGGACGCGGATATACTTGCCGAGACCAGCTAGAAGTGCTGCGAGCCCTAGGTACCAGTCAATGAGCAAAAGAGAGAGGTGGGATGGAGAATGCTATCAAGCGTGGCCCGGTCGATCCCAGTCATTGCCGTTTGCCCTTGCACGCCACCATCGTCAGGGGGAATGCTATGTTGCCTTTCCCAGTTAGCAGCATCGTACCCGGAAGAGGGGCCAGAGGGGCCAGAGGATCCTCTCGGCGGCCGTGCTGTGGGCCCCCCCGGCCTTCTCATGGCTCGCAGGAGGTCGTTCATGGCCCGTCCTAGCCGGTCTCTTAAAAGTACCTTGATCGCCCTCTCCGCGCCCTGTGATCACTCCCAACCACTCTCTGTTTCCCTTGCTTGTTGTCACGCTGACCATCTCTTCGGTATTCATTCTGCGAGACGATTCGTCTTTGGAATTTCGGAATTCGACTGTTTTACTTCTTTCGAAAAAGAGGCTGGACAACTTCTTTTACTACTTCCGCTTCAGGGTCGTTGTTGTTTGAGGAACAAAGGAACCAGGAAAAACCAGAAACACAAGCTAGACTCCTGAGGTCACTGGAACCAAACAGCGGGCCGAAGAAACGGAAACAGCGACCGCGACCCCGAACCACGGACCTGCCAACCTCACCCTGGAATTTACACGCATCAACCACCACCACTACCACCACCACACCACACTCTTTTCCCTTCTCTATTCAGACCACGTGAGATTCGCTAGTTGAATCCAGACCACTGTCTTTTCCTTCTACAACTGGCACATCTGCGCTCGACTCCTCAATCAGAAGGATAGGCCCACGTTCGTTCTTTCCAACTCCGTCAGCGGCGGTGTACCCTCATTTTGATTCCAAGACATATCCAACGTCTCCGTTGTCTTGTTCCACTTCTACGTCTTCCGGCAAACTCGGCCTTTTAGCTTTGGAGAGCTTTTTCTGATCTCATCGTTCGACTCCTACCGTCTCTTTTCCCCCACCAACAATAGAAGGGATTCCGGCTCCTCGATTCCGAAAGAACGCGGCACGAGACCTTGCCAAGGGCCAGCTACGAGACGCACAATATATTGGCGTTGCTTCGTCTCCCGTCGCTCATACGCCAACCTCACAGCCCTCTCGCGCACACCACACCATCTGCTCACGCCTCTTTTATTTCACTCCCGTCGAGCCGGCTCCTTCTGGGCCAGATTCAGATCGACCTAGCCCCCTTGGGATCGCTAATACACGAGCCGCCCTCGCTTCCACACAATTAGTGGAGCCCAAGATCAGCACGAGGATTCCGACCATCTGCATCTCGACGACTCCCCGACTTGACTTGACATCCGTCACTCCTGTGTTCCCACCGCTGACTGCGACGTTGAGCGCATTCTTCGGTGGCCAGATCTACTGCAACGACATCCATCCACTCCACGTCATCCCTGGCACTGTGTCGGTACTTACAAAGGCCCAATTGCCCCAGAACAGGCTTGCTGTTACCTGTCCTACCTAACTTGTCACTCGTGCATCGTGCAACACAATGACATTGTAGCTCGATCGTCACTCACAATAACAGTGCGCCTCTTCTCACACTCGACTCTGTGGACGTTTCCAGCAATCTCTTGCAGAATCTGTCTGTTCACCGCTCGACATCCTCTCAAACCGGAAGCCTACATCAGACCTCGACAACTCAAGTCACCAACTCAAGTCGCCCCTGGCCGATCGTAATTTGCCCGCACTTTCCCCCTTGGGAAACCCACTAAAGCTCACTCACATTTCAAACTCGACTTTGACTTTTCAGCTTCACAGCAATCACGACACCAATAACAAACACTGCAAGAGAATCAAATGGACTCTCACCGGCGCAGGCTCGCCGGTCTGGTGGCGGATCTCGTCCCCACCAAAGTTATTCAACAGCGTGCTCATGCCGCTGAGGGCACAGGGGCGGCCACGGCCACCTCAACCATCTCTCCCTACTCCTTCAACCTAAATGGCGTGAACCAGCCCGTCAACATGATGTTCAAGGACATGCTCTGGGCCAGCTTTGGCGGCATGGCCGTCATCGTCCTCATCATCACTATTAGCCGTATCCTTTGGGCCCAGCTCCGTCATGTGTCAGCCATGTCCGTCGAGGGCGAGAGACAGAACTACTGGAAGACGGCTCAATGGAGTTGGATGCCTAGCTTGAAGAAGCATCTCATCTACGCTCCCCTCTGGAACAAACGCCACAACAAGGAGATCAAGCTCTCCAACGCCATTGGTATCGGTACTTTGCCCTCGCGCATGCACAGCTTCATCTTGGGTTTCTACCTGGCCAGCAACATGGTCTACATGTTCTTCTTGAACTGGCAAAATGCCAACATATACGCCTTCTGCGCCGAACTCCGGGGCCGATCTGGCACGCTCTCCATCGTCAACATGGTACCCCTCATCATCCTTGCCGGTCGCAACAACCCGCTCATCGGCATGCTCCACGTGAGCTTCGACACTTACAATCTCCTCCATCGGTGGATCGGCCGCATGTCTGTCATCGAGGCTGTCCTCCACACCATCGCGTGGTTGATTGTTCAGGTTGCCGATGGCGGATGGGACAGTGTTTGGGATAGAATGTCCAGCCAGCTCTTCATCGGCTCAGGTATGGCTGGCACTATCGCCCTCGTCGTCATCATGATCCTCTCCTTCTCGCCGGTCCGTCACGCCTTCTACGAGACTTTCCTCAACGTTCACATCATCCTAGCCTTCTTCATCTTCCTGATGACGTACATCCACTGCGCCGTCGCTGGAATGCCTGGTGGCCTTCCCCAGCTCCCCTGGATGATTGCCATCTTCATCTTGTGGTTTCTCGAACGCATGGCGCGCATCGTCCGCGTCGCCTACATGAACTGGTCTGACCGTGGTGTCACTGACGCTATCGTTGAGGCTGTCCCTGGCGAGTGCACCCGTGTCACAATGAACCTTCCGCGCTACGTCGACGTCAAGCCTGGCACCCATGCCTACCTGCGCTTCAAGGACATCCGACCTTGGGACTGCCATCCTTTCTCCATCGGCTGGGTTGAGCACATTCCCGACCACCGCGCGGTGCATCTGGACGAGGAGAAGGCTCAGTCTGCCTGCATCGACAAGAAAAACACGACAACCTCGATCTCGTTCATCATCGGTGCCCACACCGGCTTCACCCGCGATCTTTACAATGTCGCCCGCCAGAGCGGTGACCGCGCCATCCGTATGAAGGCTGTGGTTGAGGGACCCTACTCTGGCCACCATTCGCTCGACTCGTATGGCCACGCCGTTCTCTTCGCCGGTGCCACTGGTATCACCCATGCTATCTCCTACCTGAAGCCCCTCATCGATGGCTACAACAACGGCAGTGTGGCAACGAGACGCATCACCCTGGTCTGGATCGTTCGTGATTACGAGGCCCTCGAGTGGGTTCGCCCGTGGATGGACACTGTCCTCCGCCTACCCAACCGCAAGGACATCCTCCGCATCCAGCTCTACATCACGCGCCCTCAAAATTCCCAGCAGATTGTTTCGGCTTCCAACACAGTTCAAATGTTCCCTGGACGCCCGAATATTCCTTTGTTGATGAAGCGCGAGGTCTCAGAGCAGCAGGGTGCCATGTGTGTGCACATCTGCGGACCTGGAGCCTTGGCCGATGATGTGAGAGCGGCAGTGAGAGAGGTACAGGACGAAGGCACTGTGGTCGACTTTGTGGAAGAGAGTTTCACGTGGTAAGGGAGTGGGGATGAAGATCAGCCACAAACGAACCGAAGCGGGCAACAATATCAATCCTTTGGGCGTCAACGGTACCAAGCGGGGAAAAGCGAGTTGTTCTTTTTCTTTCTTTTTTTTTTCCTTGTCTCTCTGATCTTTTTTCTTTCTTTTGCGGATCATCAGGATCAGATCAAAGTGACAGCTGGATCGGGTTGGCACGGGGGAGCTTGGTTTTAACGGCCGATGCCTCGTCCTTAATGGCTCGTTTCTTTTCATGTGTACATATTTCTCGCACCAACACATTGGGGTAGACAGGATGGAGGGGAGTGGTGCGGCTTTCCACACTTCCTTCTTTCTTCTTTCACGTCTTCCTCAACGGCACCCTTTTTCTACTCTTCTCCATGGGGTTCCCTAGGAGAGATGTGCTGTTCAACTGTTGGACGTATATACCACGCCTGCAACCTCTCTACATCTTCCGCTGCGAGACTAAGCAGAGGGTTTGATGTACCCAGTTGTTGTACATAGCACCCGCCTATTATGAAGATAGACATAGACGAAGACGTCTAAATCAGATTTCAGAAACCAAACAGTCCACGTCCACCTTGCCTCTAGTGACCAACCGAATAGTTCCCAGATCGCAAAGACGAACGTGATGGAAGCACAAATTGCGGGCTCAGGGCGCACTCAGGGTGGCTTGAAAAGAAGGTCGTGATAGTCACACGTGCCAAAAAGGACCTCTGGACCTTAAGTCCTGAGGGTCAGCTCAGCTCACAGGACGTTGGAATACGGCCTGTGGAGGCTTTGGAGCCCGCTCGTCAATCAGTTCCACGGTCTACGTTTAAGATTTGTGCTCGTATGGGTGCAGCTGCAACAGGTGCAATGGGGTTCCTGCTGTTAGCGGTCGTCTGCATGTCTCATCGATGGCGGCGGACGCGGAAAATACCTACCGTCCGGTGAAGAGGGGGTGACGGGGCCCACGGGCGAATGGCGCGATGCAAAGCGGCCGGTCATCGGGGGTTAAGCAGAGTGGGCGCCCCATCGCCGACCCCTCTCCGGAGCACGCGATTAGTCGGCCGCGGACCCTCGTAATCGCCAAGCCGCGGGAAAGCTGGGGGCTCGCGAGCGATGATCGGATGCGGTGTCGGTTAGGGTCGGCATACCCCCCACCTCAAAGACTCTCCATCTTGCCTGTATTGTCTGGGGAGTCGGGGGACACATCAGAGGAGGCATCGCGAAGTGGATTCTGCAACGTCAAGTTCGGAAAAGCCGTCCGAGACGGTCCCTACGAAAGCCGTTCAGGCAATGAGTCAGGCCCAAAAGCCCGGTTCAGAGGTAGACAGCTCTCGGACGAAGACCGGAGCAGGCAAGGCTTCGAGGTCCAGAACTAGAGCCAAAAGGGAGCAGTTGAAGCGCCATTGGTCGTCAGGACATATTTTCGATTGGCAGTTTGAGGGCGGAGGGTGGGCGGGAGAGCATACCTCGCGTGAAATCGACCGGCAGTCGCGGAAATCTACAAGCAGGGACGCTTGCAGGGTGGAAAACAGAAACAGCTGACGTTGGTGTAGTGGCTGCTACTGCGCTGCCCTGCGCTGCGCCGGGAGAGCAAAGCAACCCCGCCATGCACGACCGGTCAAGTTGGGGCTGCGTGGGAAAGGGGGCGACCAATGGGAGCAGCTGGGCACCGCTCTGAAGGGCGTGATGTGGAGAAGAGGGGGGACTCGAATGTGGGTCCCTACTCCAATGACATGGAGTTTGGAGCAATAACCTACCTACTACGTTATATAGGATGAGAAGGTGCAGGGAAAGAGAGAGAAAAAAAATTGAATAGGGAAAAAAATTGTCTGCCGCGTTGTCACTGCAGCGCCCACAGCTGCTTCGACTCGTTCAATGTGTAGGAGCCGGCGACTGCGGGCGATATGCACTGCGGCAGAGCACAGCGGCGGCCAGCAGGCACCTTGACAGCGGAAGTCCAACCGCTCTCTTCTTGTCTGCGTGGTGCCTGTAGACTGAGTCCTTACTGACCTGACTGCATGCACGATGCAGTAAAGGACGTTGGAGGACTAGGACTAGGCCTGCTGCACCGAGCCGGTTTGACGGACGCTGTGATCCAATCCAATATCAGGAATATCTGGGGGAAATAGAAAATGGTAAAGATAGTCAAAAGAAAGGCGTGTTCAACCTGCACTGCAGCCCATCAAGTCAGTCCAAGTCGATGCAAAAGATACAAAAGTGTACGTACCCGTGTCCCTTACAGCCTTTTCTAGTGGAGGGGCGTGTCGAAAAATGGAGACTGGGTTTGGTCGACGTCCCCGTCCTCCATCCTCGTACCTAGTTCCCGACGCTCTGCGACGGACGAATATTATGACTCAAAATCTTTCCCTCCTCCCTCTGTGTCTGTGATTTCTAACTCTCGAACCGTTCGCGATACTTTTTTCTACAAACACCCTTTGCGACCTCTCTCCCTCGTTCTGCAGACCAAGATACTCCATTTCTCCAGACTCTTTATTGTGTGACGCCACTCCCCCCCAGGAAAAGATCCGCCCTAGTTTTTTATTTTATTTTAGTGTACTTACACCTCCCCGCGAGATCTGCCCCGCACTCGCCCAAGATGCCCATGTAGGTGACTCGATGGATGCCCAAACAACCAGAACCCCAGAGCCACAATAGGCGAAGAATTCGCCCGGAGAAAATGACCGTAGACTAACTACCTCTCCTATGACAGGCTCAAGGAACCGTGGAAGAAGTACAAGCCCTTCCCTCCTCTCAATCTTCCCGACCGCCAATGGCCCTCCAAGACCATCACAAAAGCCCCGCGATGGCTCTCGACCGATTTGCGCGATGGCAACCAAAGCTTGGTTGACCCAATGGCACGTCTTCTACCTTCCTCACGGATTCCCCCCTACCGTGCTGTACATCTAGTCCCCGTGGCGCTAACACCGGCCCCCGCGTGTAGAACGGCGATGAGAAGTGGCGCTACTTCAAGATGCTGTGCGACCTGGGCTACAAGGAGATCGAGGTCTCCTTCCCGTCGGCCTCGCAAACCGACTTCGACTTCACTCGCCGCCTCATCGAGACCCCCGGCGCCGTCCCCGACGACGTATACCTCCAGGTCCTCTCCCCCTGCCGCGAGGACCTCATCAAGCGCACAGTAGAGTCCCTCAAGGGCGCCAAGAACGCCATCGTCCACATCTACCTCGCCACGAGCGAGTGCTTCCGGAGGATCGTCTTCGGCTTCACCGAGGACGAGAGCGTCGAGTTGGCCGTCAAGTGCACCAAGCTGGTGCGCTCCCTGACCAAGGACGACCCCTCCCAGTCCGGGACCAACTGGCAGTTCGAGTTCAGCCCCGAGACCTTCTCCGACACCTCCCCCGAGTTCGTCATCCGCATTTGCGAGGCCGTCAAGGCCGCTTGGGAGCCCACCACCGAGGTGCCCATCATCTTCAACCTGCCCGCCACTGTCGAGATGGCCACCCCCAACGTCTACGCCGACCAGATCGAGTACTTCTGCAGGAACATCACCGAGCGCGAAAAGATCGCCGTCTCCCTCCATCCCCACAACGACAGAGGCTGCGCCGTCGCCGCCGCCGAGCTGGCCCAGATGGCCGGCGCCGACCGTGTCGAGGGTTGCCTCTTCGGCAACGGCGAGCGCACAGGCAACGTCGACCTCGTCACCCTCGGCCTGAACCTCTACACCCAGGGCGTCTACCCCAACGTCGACTTCTCCGACCTGAACCGCGTCATCGACATGGTCGAGGTCTGCAACAAGATCCCCGTCCACCCCCGCGCCCCCTACGGCGGCTCCCTCGTCGTTTGCGCCTTCTCCGGCTCCCACCAGGACGCCATCAAGAAGGGCTTCCAGGTCCGCGAGCAGACGGTCAAGTCCAACGACGAGCACTGGCAGCTCCCCTACCTGCCCCTCGACCCCACCGACATCGGCCGCACCTACGAGGCCATCATCCGCGTCAACTCCCAGAGCGGCAAGGGCGGCGCAGCCTGGATCATCCTTCGCAAGCTCCAGCTCGACCTCCCCCGCGGCCTGCAGGTCGCTTTCTCCAAGGTCGTGCAGGACAAGGCCGACCAGCTCGGCCGCGAGCTCCTCTCGGACGAAATCACCGAGCTCTTCGAGTCGACCTACTACCTCCGCGACAACCCGCGCTTCACCCTCGTCGACTACAGCATCGCCCCGGACCGCTCGCAGTCCCCCGCGCCGCCCCAGCCCGGCAAGACCCAGGACACCAAGAACCTTCAGCGTGTGTTCGAGGGCGTCGTCGCCATCGACGGCAAGGAGCACAGGCTTCGCGGCCGCGGCAACGGTCCCATCTCGAGCTTGGCCAACGCCCTCAAGAGCGTCGGCGTCACCCTCGACGTCGAGGACTACAAGGAGCACGCCATCGGCGCCGGCCGCGACGTCAAGGCCGCCACCTACATCGAGTGCACGGCTACCGGCACCAAGCAGAGGTACTGGGGTATCGGCATCCACGAGGACGTGGTGCAGAGTTCCCTCGTTGCCCTGCTGAGCGCCGCCAGCAACGTGAGTGCTCTTTCTCTCTCCCCGACACCCTCCTCCCCACCTTGGCCGTGATGAATATCCGTCCGCCTGTTGCTAACGCGGAGCGCTACAGTTCATCGGCAGCCGCCCCGGGAGCCCCGTCTTCCACAAACCCATGCCCACACGGCCCATGAGCCAAGAGCTGAACCTCGAGTCGGCTAACGGAACAAACGGAACGAACGGTGCGCTGGGCTTCGTCTCGGTCCTCGAAGACAAGGCGAACGGCATGTAAAAAAGGTGGCAGTCAAGTCTCGAAAATGAGGCGTGGCGTGGGACGGTCTTTTTCTTCTTCTTCTTTTATACGCATTCAAGGGAATGAAAAAAAATGTTGGGGTTCAGACATGCATATCGTGGGGACGAGGTTGAGAATAAAAAAGCAGATGGATGACTGACCGGGCATGGCCGACGAGGTTTTTTGTCGTTAACTGTCGGCGGTGTAGCAGCATAGCCACGAAAGGCATTTTTTTCTGTATCTTCTTGTTGGAGCAGTTTTGCCAATGCATGAATGGGAATCTAGTCAAGGTGATCTCGCCTCGCCCCCCCCGTGGAGTGAAGACAGAAGAAGGACACCCCCTTTTGAACGCTGCCAAGATGCGAGACTATGACTACAAACGTTATTCGATATGGCTACGGCATGGGGAACTAACCACCCGTGTCCCTCCAGCCTTTCCTTTTTTTCCCCCGCTGCCGGGCTTGCCGTTAATGACTTTCTCGCCCAAGGTACCCCTTTACAGGCGTCTCAAGCAGTAAGTCCACAACTTCCGGCAACGGCAGCAACGGCAGCAGTTACAGCAGCAGTGACAAGAACATGTGGGCAAGGAGATGCAGCAGCTCCCTCAGCAACTGCAGCTGCGGTCCCCCCCCCGCCGCCCGCCACGTCCACGATGTGAAGGTGCCTCGCGTCGAGAGTCCAGGTCGAAAATCCCCCGTGGTACCAACGAAGAGGGGAGCGACGGCGACGATTCCCGCCGTGCGGTCCGGAGAGGCCTCTGGGATGACGGGCTGGCGGACTACCAGCCCGAACTATCAACCGGCCTACTGCCAAACCCGCGCAACCCAGCGGCCAACTGGCAAATGCTTTGGCAGGGTGATATTGAACGCCGCGGCGTCAAGTTACCCCGAAAGCTCAATGAGCCCAGGGAGATGTATCTTGACCTCTAGGGTGATGAGCCGCCTCCCCTGGGCCATTCGGGATGGCTGGACCTGCCACGCTCGAGACGTTTGGTGTTGCTGGACCGCCCCGAAAGGTATCGATTTTGGCACGATACAGCGCAGCATTACATGATATAGCGCCACGTACAACCCATCGGTTGATGGCTCGCCGTGTCGGCCGCCCGGACTCGCACCCGGATACGGGGCTGACATCTCCAGGCGACCACATATTCGGTAACCGAATCTTGTATAAGCGCCCGTGGCGAGACACTATCAGCAGGTATGCCCAGAGACAAGACTCGGCCGTAGGACTGTGGTGAGGAGAGCGAGAGCGAGGGAGAGAGAGAGAGAGAGAGAGAGAGAGAGAGAGAGAGAGAGAGAGAGAGAGAGAGAGAGAGAGAGAGAGAGAGCATGTTCTCTCCTCCGCAGCCATCCCTTCGTCTTCCTTCTCGTAACCTGCGGGGGGGCCTCATCGGCACGTTCAAATCGCCCCGGGGATGGCCGGGAACCATTACATATCGGTCTAGATAGCATCCGACGCAGTATGCAAACCCCGCTAGAGGACACCACATGAGGATGGATCTGTCTGCTTTACGGGCTCAAACCCGAGTCCTAACGTGGGCGATGGATGCTCTGTTTCGACTAGATGCATGCTTCCATGAACAGAAACCATCGGCGCACTATAACGCCTTGGCCAAGGATTCCCGCGCTACGCGTTTCTAACTAGGTATCTTCTCTTAGCACGAAAGATGTCGTCTGATGGTATCTATAGGGACCACTCCGAGCCACACCAGGTCTCTTGCCATTGCAGATATTAGCCATTTGTAGCTATTCCTTAGGTTAACGAGAAGTCAAGAAAATGACCTTCAACGCCTCGCAAGAGGCTGATGTAGAGAATTCAACTTCGATTCCATTGGCTTCAGAAGACCAAGCTGGGAGGTTTGGGCATAGCCCTTCCACGCTAGATAAAGAGCCACGTAGTATATAGAAAGATCAGGATTATAACAATACACATAACAATAGACACAACTCTATTAGAGAATATTTATATTTTCACCATCTAGTCTAAAGATGATAACAAGGTCCATCTATACCTAGGTGCTTATATCTATTTAGCAGCTTGCTTTTAGGCTACACTAATTGTCTAAAGCTGCTAACGTTAATCTTTATGCTTCTTGCAAGGACTAAGATAACAACAAAGCGCCGGTTGTCCGAGTTATTTAGGTGAAGCATGAAGTAATAGAGGTGGTTGCAGAGAGGCCGGGATTGGATATAGACAAGCGTTGAGCTAATCCTTGGGGCCCTTACTACGTGCTACATAATATTCCCTGACTACACGCCGACTAGGAGACTGACAATTGCAAGAAGAAGGGTCCTGTGGAGAACAAGGCTGAGAAGAAGCAGGAGGCAGAGGACAGCGAGGAGGAGAAGAGTTCCAGTAGCTCTGTAGGTACACTTCAACGTGGCTGAATGCGTATCGACAATACTAGGCTTGTTGCTCAATCCAGCGAGGACATCGCGCTTGGCGATCTACTTCGCGGACACCTGCCTGGGAATGCCGTCCCCTCAGTTTCGCGATGTTCAGGCTTCGTACTCTCCCCACCTACGACTGTCTGACCTGCGCAACGTTGGCACGATGATTTTTGGTCTTCCCTCCCCCCCTGATGGGAAGCGGTGCGCAGACGCAAACCTCTCGAGGGTGGGATACGGTTTCGAACGAGGAGACCAGGTAGAAAGGTTACTGCGAGCTTTGCGATGCAGGACGTTGACCAAGTCAGCAGTCTCCATCACAGGCATTGGACTCACATGAGAGGCGTAAGAAGATGGGCATGAAAGGTTGTTTCATTCCCGAACGTATCGGCCTCCTCACGTCCAAGACGACACATCAATACTCACAAAATACATCTGCCTGCGAGACGGTCCAATGTAGCCTTGGAAGACGATAGCAACCGGTGTTTCAAAGCTCCCTTCTAGAGTCCAGAACAAGGCTTGGCATATATGCATGATGCCGTTGGAGGTAGGGGCCACGCTCTAGAGCTATGTAATGTCAAAGAGGTACGTATGGTGGGCACATGGCAGAAAATCCGAGAGGAACCCATGGTATCAGATAATCGATCCCGTCCCTCAGTTTTCCAAATCTGCGTCAGCGGTGGGGTATGGTGTTGGTGGTTTCCCTCACAGGATGAAACTACATCAGACAGGCGGTCTTCCAAAGCAAGAGAGAAAGGGACTTCTCGTCAAACAAAGACCGGCGCCCGCCGTCCGCTCGGTAATGTAACAGCATCGTGTTCCCATGTGACGGCAGTCGGCCGCGGACGGCACGCAGGCAGACGGGCGGGCGCTCGGATGCCAGGAACCCAAGATGACGTCTAAGGCATGACTCGAGGGGGGGAGGGGGGGGGGAGAAGGGCGCTCGGGTGCTGTCACGTCCCTCCCCCCTCAAACCCCTCTGCATAGAAGGCCGAACTAAGGCGAGTACGGTAGAGCAGATTACCTGTTATAGATAGCCTTACGTGCGCACTTGCAAAATTTGGGTTCGGTAAGAAAAACCCAAGCTGTCGTCTCAAGCTTGGCCGGGCGGGGGAACGTAGCGTGAGCGGATGGAGGAAAGTGCGTGAGTTGGTTTGCGGCCCGTTCTGCTTCTAGCCACAGAGGGTAGTAGGGCTTTCTAGTGCGCAGGTTGCGTGTTTCTTGGAAGAGAAGGGTTTTAGGGGGGTCCATTTTGTGTTGTTTTTGTGCATGGCATGGCAAGGCAAGGCAAGGCACCATTTCCCGCTTCTGCATTTCTGAGAGAAGGAAATAAAATAACAAACCAGGCAAGGCAGCCCGGGCAACGCAGGCGCAAGCTGCAGCCCTGGGCATCCATCCAATGCAAGTCTCCTTTTTCGGTGTGGGGGGGTTTGCCCGTGACTGTGGGCGGGGAGGGGCAGATACTGAGCCCAAAATAGGGGGAAACCTCGAGGTACTTGAACACCCGGCACTTGTAAGCTTGGAGATCAAGTACTTCGCGACGGCTGCCTAACGGACGCACGGTCTCAGGCAGCAATCGGAGTACGTGCCTAGGCAGTGGACGACGCCGCATTAGGAAAGGGAAAAAACATGCTCCCGCATCCAGTATTTTGATTTAGTTTCCCCGCCCTCGGTTGGTTTACGTCGTCTCAGTCAGTCAGGTTGACATAGTAGTAGTAGTAGTAGTAGTAGTAGTAGTAGTAGTAGTAGTAGTAGTAGTAGTAGTAGTAGTAGTAGTAGTAGTAGTAGTAGTAGTAGTAGTAGTAGTAGTACATTGTCCCGGCTGAACCAGAAATCACAGTCTCAAGCAGATAAAGGGTAGATGCTGATATATAGAGAGTGAGGGACAGAGAGACAGAGAGAGAGAGAGCAAACGGGCGTCTCGCATAGGTTCATTCTTGGAGCATCCCATCTGCCTCAACCCAGGGTCTCCCAGAGGGCGTCCCCTATGGAGTGCAGGAGGGAGTCCAGGCTAGAAGTACGCGGAAACAACCCCTCCTCGGGGGTGTTTTTTTTTTCTTTTATTTTTTTCTTTTCAGGCACTCTCTTTGCTTCCCCACACTCATTAAACGCCCTTTTTCTTACCTCTCTGGTAGCCTCAGTAGCCCACTTCCGCCCCCGTTGGCTTGGCCAAAGTGGCGGTTTGCGTCAAAACCTGAAGTGACTCAGGCGTACCTCTTCCGCCAAAATAGAAGCAGGAATACCTGGCATTCTCAGCACTGCTCAGCCTGCTGGACAATCCCCCCAACTGATGACTGCCCCTTCCACTGTTCCAGTGTTCCCAGCATTCACTGCACCGCCTGGAGAAGTCGGAGCTGCCACTGCCACTGTCTGTCTCTGTCTCTGCCGTTCCCGCCGTCTCCATCGTCTCCCCCGTATGTATCTGTCTGTCTTCTACGGCTACCGGGCACACATACGCACACAGCATAATCGTGTCCCTGTGTAGGCAGTACACACAGCTCTCGCCGCTGCACTTTGATCGTCAACAACCTCGCCAGGTCCCGCTCCTGTCTCTCCCTTCACCAAACCACCCAAAGGGACAAGAGGGAAAAAAACAATAAGAAAAATCCTCACCTTCCTCCGACCCATCCACACAACCTCTCTCTCGCACACACATACACACACACACTGCTACCGTCTGTTGTCATCCCGGTTAAATCTTCTTTACGGTACGCCCGTGGCCCTCTAATTCCCTACAGACTTTCCTCCCAAGACCTTGTCTTTGGCACATCATTTTAATACGGATTCCAGACTGGTCCCATCTCTCTCACTCTCACTCAGTCACTCTACCTTTTTTCCTACTCTCCAACCGCACTCGCTCACTACCGACTGCCGACTGCTGACACACACACACACACACACACACACACACCCCTGACACCCCCGTCTCGTCTCTTTCACACACACCGCGCCAATCTACGAGCGCCTGTCGTCTAGACCGCCGTCGCCGCACAAAGCAACTGTCCCCCCCCCGCGTCGCCTTCCCTACTGCTTGCCGCTGTTGCTGCTCAGACCCAAGGTGCCTTGAACCCTTACCTCCCACCTGACACGTGCAACCTGTCAACGAGCCCCCCTCCGAACAACACGTCCAAACATCGGCACTGGCTCAGCCTTACCTTCTACATACCACCACCACATTTTGAGCGGCAAACATGTCGGGCTCAGAGATCAACCAGGTTTTGGCCAATTCGCTGTCGCCTGGTAAGTTTGGCTTCCTCGTCCCTTTGCCCTTGGCTTCATAGCATATCATCAGCGAACCCCTTCCCTCTCTCCTGTCCCTCCCTCTACAGGACATTGTAACCCGGCTCTGCCCTTCCTTGCCTGCTGTCCACCCCAACGCGCATCGCCAAGCACAACTCGAAGGATGAAGACGAGGCTAATACTCTGACCAGACGCGAACTTGCGCAACGCTGCCGAGCAGCAACTCACACAAGCCGCCGACAACAACTTTGTACGTGCCCGCCCACTTTTGGACGCCGAGTCCCCCTCCCCCCACCGCCGCAGGCAAATTTGCTAACCAACGTTTCCCAACAGCCCTTATACCTCGCAACTCTCGTCCAAGAGCTTGCAAACGACAGCGCCGATGGCTCCATCCGTGCCGCCGCCGGTCTCGCTCTCAAGAACGCCTTCACCGCCCGCGACTTCAGCCGCCACCAGGAGCTCCAGGCAAAATGGCTCCAGCAGACCGATGACGAGACCAAGACCCGGGTCAAGGACCTGACCCTGCAGACCCTCTCCTCGTCCAACGCACAGGCTGGCCAGGCCGCCGCCCAGGTCATCTCCTCCATTGCTTCCATCGAGCTGCCGAGAGGCCAGTGGCAGGAACTCATGGGCATCCTCGTCAAGAACGT